AAACCGAAAATTTTCGGTTTTTCGAAAAAAATTCGGGATTTTTGCCAGCGGTTCGGGCCGCAAGTATTTTTCCTGGATAGAGCATATTTTTATGCATAAAATAAGCTTTTAAAATTTTCAAAAAAGGTTAACTTTAAGAAAGTTATGAATTTTTAAAAATTTGGGTAAATTTTTCGGCCAAAATTTTCGGCCAAAAAAATATTTTTTTCAACATGGGTAGAAATGGGGCAAATTATATATCAAACAAGAGCTCTTATCGAGGGGAATTTAAAAATATTTTTTCCAAAATTTTCTGACCCTTTTGACCAAAGTTATGATGGGTCAAAAGTTTAAGTCTGAGGTGGTACTTTGGCTGGTGGGGTACCAAAGGAGGGGCAATAAAACAAATATCGTCCGGTAAGATTGTAGAGCGTCACCTGGGTGTAGAGCGTCACCTGGGTGTAGAGCGTCACCTCGCGCCATTGAAGTACTATGGAATAAACTCTCTGAGTGGCCAAATGAAAGTTTCATCTTCGCATATTTATGCTATCTAGCCAAAGTTTCTGGCAAAAAGGTGATTGTAGTGGATCCGCTTGTAACGGATCCACTTCATTATCAATTAGAAAATTTAAATTACGCTGACTATTCTTACCAAACTGGTCCAGACAGAGATGTACAAATTGTACTTCTTCCTGTTCACCTACCAGGACACTGGACTATCATTATCTTTGACAGTGAGTTCGGAACTTATTTTTTCGACTCACTGCCAGACGATCCTCATAGACTATCTGATAATCACCGTGACTATCACCCTGATAGAATGCCAAAACTTATGGAGATTCTTTCTCAATTGACCAACAGACGCTCCGATTTAATACATTTGGGATCATATGCCACTGACAAATACACACTTCAACGTGACGGTCATAGTTGCGGATATTTTATTTGCCTATATGCCGAAGCGTGGTTATTCAATAACCGTAATCTCAAGTTAAACAATTTTAATATTAACACTGAAAAGAAGAGAATTTTATGGCATTTGAACCAATTGTATTCCGGAGATGATGTTGAGTATCACCCGAGAAATGAAAACGACCAAGCTAATATACGCCGATCAAGCCCAATTCATAACTTGCCAACTACAAGTCTTTCAACTCCTAGAATGCAAACGAGAGCTTCTACGCGAGCCTCTTCAACTAATTTAACGCCAGGATTGTCTAATATTGCAATTGCTACTCCGAAAGGAGAACGAGTTTTTCTTCCTATGTCACAACGTTGCCGGACAAAGCATAAAGGGATTGGCTGTGCCTCCTTCAAGTCAGGTCATCTCCCAGAATATTACAATTCTGGTCAATTTGGAGATAAAACTTGTGAGCATTGTGATAATAGACTCCTTCGCGCTGAAAAATGTTTATCTTGTACGGATGGTCGAGTTCGACTTGATCCGCTCAAAAAATATCCGAAAGAGTATAGAAGACTTGTAGAAGGTAAAGTTGATGAATCTAAAGAATATATCAAATATCAAGCTAAATTCAATACACTTTTGGCCTTCGGGTCACTTTCCGTCGGACATCAAAGCGCAATGATGGGGGATTCAATGGCAGTCTTTTTAAATGGAGAATTTGCACGCAGAATCGGAAGTATCATGGCAGCTGATACTCAGATTCCTGCATTTGACCAGCTTTATATTCTTGACTCGCAGGACGCAACCGACCATCGCATGAACAATACAAATTTTGACAACTGGATCCGGAAAGATGAACACAGACATCTCTTCCGGGTTCTCGACAAACTAATTCGAGACTATCATCCGATGGCGGAAATTCTTAAAAACTCTTATGAGTTTTACAAGGATATTGAACAGAACTCTCCGGAGAATCTGCAAAATTTCAAGGTTATCTTAGTCGAAGATAAAAATGCGCCTGCAGCGATCCAAGATCCGAATTTACATCCACGCCAAGTGAATCTGCCATCTAAAGCTGAGTCCCCTGTTTTTGCGATTTGGTCTTCCAATACTGATGAGCCTCCGCCACTCAGAGGTATTTGGATTACCGACAAAGGAAATGTGACCGATTTATGGTCTAATCATCCTATGACTGATTCGATACTCTACCCTTGCATGTTTTTGCTCGGGGACGAGGGATATTCTAAAGACATACCATATATTAAAATTGCTAAAAAGCCAACTACTGTTAGAAAAGACTTTGATGACGATAAATCGGAAACCGGTTCCATTGCTGAAAGCGATTGTGGTTCTGTTGATATTTATGGTGACGAACCAAGCCGTTCTCGCCCCAATCTTTCATATAGAGCTTTCTATCGTTATCGATTTGGAATTCGGTATCCGGAAAATGAAACTTATCATCATATTTGGAGCACTGGTGGCGGATTGGGTCAAAAATTTGCTCTCGATATTGCTGCTCGAATTGATTCGCAAGTATTTGAATACTTACGTCAGCCTGATATGGATTTGAGATGTGAAGTTGTGCCTGAACTTTTAGACTATTTTGCTAAGCATGCTGGCAAATCCTCCGCAGACAAAGTAGGACATGTAGTTCTCTTTAGAAGTAATATGCCTGGCTTTAGGGCTTACTTTAAGAAAAATTATAAATCTGCGTGCACGATTATTAATCGTAAACGCAAGCGAGGATGCGCCATGTTTATGTTTACGTTCACTTCAAATCCAAACTGGCCTGAAATGCAGAACGAACTATACCCCAACGGTCAATCATTGATTGATCGTCCTGACATTGTCATGCGTTTTTACGCGGATAAGGTTAGGGAGGTACATAACGACTTGAATGTAAAGCAAATTTTTGGCAAGCAATTGGGTTATGCTGAGAGCATGGAATTCCAGAAAAGGGGTGGTCCTCACTTTCACAGAGTGATGGCTACTGATATTCCTGCTATACCGGAGATTATTGAAGGTTACATTCTTGCCCATATTCCGCCACTACCAGATAAAGATGATAAAAGCCCACGTGCCGAGGGTGAAAGACGCCTTCGAGAACTTGTCATTAAACATCAGCTTCATGATTGTATGCCTGATGTTTGTGGGAAAAGGAATAAAAATGGGAAATGTTCAAAATTCTTCCCTTATGATTACTCTAATAAGACTATACTCTATGACGACCAGCCAGCCGTCCATTATCGACCAAGTCCCGAGGACGGTGGTGAAACTGTATCGATAAAGAAGAAGGGTGGAGTGCTCACTGAGTATACCAATGCTCACGTGACGCCATATAATCCGTTTATCCTACTGAAATATAAAACACACCATAATGTAGCATATTGCTACGGTGAAAAAACCAATATGAAATATACTATGAAGTACCCATTAAAGGGTCCCACCTTTCAATACATCCAAGTCCAAGGTGACATGGTCGATATTGACGAGCCTGCGCATTATGCTCAGATGTACTATCGCTCTGCAAATGAAGCATATGCAAGAATCCATTCAATGCCTTACGTACGACTTTCCAATACAGTTTACGAAATGGAAATCCACTTGCCAGGCCATCAAAAGGTCGTTTTTAAACAAAGTCAAGCTGCAGCAGTTGCTGCTGGATTACCAGGAAATTTACCTAAAACCATGCTCACAGAGTACTGGTCTCAATGGAAAGAAGGAAAGTCGTGGCAATTCATTAATAAAAAATGGAAACTTGAAGACGATGCTTCAATAACGAATACGCTATACGAACACATGCCAGAAAATTATTGGTTTGATTATAACGACAAAGTTTGGAAAAAAAGAATTCGAAAAATGGATGTAATAGGACTGATTTATCCTAGACCATCTCCTCGGGATCAAGAGAGGTTTGCTCTTTACATCCTTCTCCGCCATTTTCCTGGCGATCCCGAGGCATTAAAGGACGTTAACGGAGTAATGTGCAATTCTTTTGTTGAGTCTGCCAGATTGAGAGGTCTGCTTTCTGACGATTCCGTCTGGGAAAGAACATTGGAGGAAGCCTCGCATTTCAGCACACCCGGTGCAATGCGATACCTGTTTGTACAGGTTTTGGTCTTTGGAAATCCGAGCAATGCTCGCGAATTATGGGAAAGATTTGTGGATCATATGTTCAAGCCCGTAGTCGGCAATGATCCAAATGGGATTGAAAGAAACAGACGTATTGATCGGGCATTGGCCATCATAGAAGCACAACTCTCGGACGCTGGAATGACAAACCAACAATTTGGTCTGGATTCTCCATCCCCCGGGATGCGACAAGACGTTGACGACGCACTTGATAACTTCTTCTTTGGAGACAAAGATGAAGATGACTTTGCAAGCGGTAACAAGCCCAAGATAAAGCTAAATGACGACCAAGAAAATGTTTGGACAACCGTTCAAAATGCCATCAACGGAACTTCATCCAACACCATCTTTGTAACAGGAGATGGTGGAACTGGAAAGACTTATCTATTTAACGCTGTAATTTCACGACTAAGAGACATGCGCATCCGTGTAATTGCTTCGGCTTATACAGGCTGCGCAGCGACACTGTTGACTGGCGGTGCTACCGTTCATTCGGTATTTAGGTTTGGGATAAACATTGACGAAAATTACACCCCATCAGTGTCAATGCAAAGCTATCACGGAAGGCGAATCAGAGACAGCCAAGTTATAATTATAGATGAAGTTTCTATGCTTCCTAAGCATATGTTGGAGGCAATTGATCGGGTCTGCAAACAAATGTGCCAACCAGACAAGAAACATATTCCATTCGGCGGAAAGGTTATGATTCTCAGCGGAGACTTCAAGCAATCACTTCCTGTGGTTACTGGAGGTGGTATGCGAGATCAAGTCAATGCCTGTATACAGTCTTCATTACAATTGTGGCCGCATTTTAGAAATAATATAATAACGCTGAACATTAATATGCGTCAGGGACAGAATGAAATTCAATTCACTGATTGGCTGCGAAAAATTGGAAACGGCGAATTAAATAAGGAAGTGGAGATTCAAAGTAGAAATATAGTGGGTTCGCGCCAAGAGTTGATGAATTTTGTCACTGACAACGGCCAAGCTCTTTCGAATCCGAAAGAGCTCATTAACAGACTGATCTTAGCGCCACATAATGACACAGTGAATGTGATTAATGAAGACATGCTGAAAAAGATTACGACCAAGGAAAAGATTTATTTGTCAACGGACGTATCGAACGTTGACGAATCGCCAATGGATATTGATGAATGCGAGAACGATATTGAAGCTTTGAATTTACTAAATCCTGCTTCAATACCACCACACCGGTTACACCTTAAAGAAGGTTGCATTGTAATTCTTTTAAAGAATTTGGCAGTTAGTAGAGGGCTTGTCAATGGGACAAGAATGATTGTAAAGGAGTTAGGAGATAACATTTTGAAGGTTGAGGTTGTAACCGGTTCTGTGGCTGGATCCGGCAATATTATCTGCCTTTCACGTGTATGGTGTGATTATGAAGACAAAGAACCAGATGGAGTTAATTTCCGACGGTTGCAGTTTCCAGTTCGTCTTGCATACGCAATGACGATCATGAAGGCCCAAGGCCAGACTGCAACACGAGTCGGACTCGACCTTACACATCAAGTGTTCGGTCATGGAAATCTTTATACAGCTCTTTCGAGAGTTCGTACAGGTGATATGTTTAAAGTCTTCGCACCACACGTCAATGAAAAGGAAAAGACCAAAAATAAAATGATAAAAAATGTAGTCGCCGATGGCTTAGAATTCTTCTAATGCCTTGATGAATTACACACGGACATGAATTACACACGGACATGAATAATTACACAACGCTATTCCACTGGCCTGGACATTAATGTCCAGAGCCTTCGCCAATTTATGCTTACAAACGCCTATGGCGTATATTTACTCTTATTCTTAGCCTCTAAGACGCCTATGGCGTATGTTTACTTGATCATAAGCCTCTCGGTCGCCGATGGCGGTAGGAATACTTGTAAATAATGTAAATATTTTCAAAAAATAAAAATACAAAAAAAAATTAAAAATAAAAAGCCTAAAAATGTAAAAATTCTTAAAAAAATACAAAAAAAGTTCTTATACCAAAAAAACAAAAAAATATAAAAACATTTCTTAAGAGAAAGAATTCCAAAAATAAAATGCAAAAACACAAAAAAATTTCATATCCTAAAAAAATAAAAAAATAAAAAAAAAATTCTTAAGCCAAGGTGTACAAGGTCTTCCACACCTGACAGGCCTCCCCGTGGCCGTACACCGGTAACTCCTGCTACTAAGGCTGTTGTGGGCCATGCAGTTGAGGCTAACCATAAAGGTCACAACACTTTTATGGAGTCAAAGTGTGTTCCAAACTTATGTTATTTTTGGAGAATAAATGTTTGGCTCAAATGTTTGGATGAATATACTTTTTCAGCGATCAGAAGACGCTCAGACATTCAGAAAACCCTATCCAACTATGGATTTTAAGCAAGTTTTAAGTCCTATCTATTTAGAAAATCTGTTCTATCAGAGAGAACATTTTTTCTATATTCTTAGTATACTCAGTTTTAAATGGAACTCTGACAAAGTATATATTTTTTTAAAGATAAAATTTTTTTAAAGATTTCTAAACGAACTTAGTAGATTTAACGTACATCTTCAAGCCAAAAACAAATCTAGCGTGCTTTTAAAGCCGCAGGCTTTCCACGCGCGTCCCTGGACGCGCCCCCAAAACGACTTCTATAAAAACAATGTAACCAAAGGCTCCCCCCAACGTAACCTTACCGCCATCAGCAATTTACCGCCTGCAGCTACACGCCCTGCAGCTAGTTACATACTTATATAAAAATGTGGAAGTTCGATTTTAAAAAATCAGAACTCGGATTTGAGTGGATTTACGGGCATGGGAGTTTGACATCTTGGGGGGTACTTTGTCCGGGCCATATAGGAAAAATATAGCGGATTTCGAAAAATTGCCGGAAGGGGTCGAAACCGGGTTCGAACTTTGTCTAAAATCCGAACGGTTCGAGATACCGGAAAAAGTCTGCTGGGAGGCGGATGTGCCACTATTAGTAGATGTCGAATCCAAAAAATTCGGGTCGAAAATGTCAAACCAAAAGTCTGTAGCCTCGTGAGCCTGAAGTGTCCAATTCGTACTCAAATAGGTTTTTTTGGCGGAAATTTAAATTTTTTAAAAATTTTCAGGGAAATTCGAAAATATAGTAGTAGGGATGTCTGAGTATGAGTATTAAGGGGTATAAAGAGGATTTCGACTTCGGTTCGACATTTCCGGGTTTTTTCGGGATTTCTGAATATGGTCGAATGAGTAGTCATTCGAGAGCTGGGATAAAGGGGAGATTAATGGGATATGTTAGGGGTAGTAAAAGTCGAATCTGGAAGTCGAAATTCGAGTTCGAACTTTCCGGGATTTCGAATATGACGTGTAAGTAGTCATTCGAAAGGGGATATTGAGGGGAGATCAATGGGATATGTTAGAAGTTTTGAAAGTCGAATTTCGAAGTCGAACTTCGAAATCCGGGATTTCCGAAAAGTTCGAATATGGTCGAATGAGTAGTCATTCGAGAGCGGTGAGTGAGTGGGGATTAATGGAATATGTTTCGGGTCAAAATTCGAAGTTCGGAGTTCGAACTTCGAAATCCGGGATTTTCGAGATCCTTAAATATGGTCGAATGAGTAGTCATTCAAAAGCAGATATTGAGGGGGAATCAGTGGGATATATTAGAAGTCGAAATTCGAAGTTCGGAGTTCGAACTTCGAAATCCGGGATTTTCGGGATTTATAAAAGTGGTCGAATGAGTAGTCATTCGAGAGCAGACATTAAGTGGAGTACAGTGGGATTATAAAAAATCTCGAAACTTGAATTGTAGAAGTCAGAGTTCGAGATTCGACATTTCCGGGATTTAAGATTTAAATGGATAAGGGTGAATGAGTAGTCATTCGAAAGCTTATCTAATGGGGATTACAGTGGGATTAACCAAAAAATCTAATTTCAAAGTTCGTAGTTCAAAATTCGGAATTTGAGTCTGGGACTGAAATGGTTTTTAGACCATAACTTTTCGGGGACTTAAATCTAACTTATCCCAACCACACCATTAATAGATCCCTGTATGTGCTTCAATTTAATCTTTAATTCAACTTTATAAGTACTGTAGATAGTTCAGTATATCCATTGAAATTTCCAAAAAGCTGAGACTGAAATGGTTTTTGGGCCATAACTTTCCGGGAAAATTTTTTAGAATTTTTTCGTTTTCAGATTCGGACTCAGCGTGTTTTGTTTCAGTATAAAACATGTTTTTTTTAGCTAAAATTTAAAAATTTTATCCCCTCGATTTTTTCCAAAGGGGTACCCCTTCTGAAAAATATTCGGGAATTTTTAAAAAATCATAACTTTTTAAGGGATTGAGTTTTCTGGATAGGATTTCTTTTATAAAATCGTAGTAAAAATTAGAAATTTTTTAAGGTAAAAAAATTCAGAAAAATTTCAAAATTGGAGACGCAGGGGTCGATTTTTTAAAAATCCAAATTTTTTCGATTTTTTTAAAATTTTTTGGATTTTTTATGCAGGGATGGGTGTAAAAGTATTTTTCCATTATAGAGCAGATTTTTCTGCATATAATAAAATTTTAAAATTTTCAAAAAGCTTTACTTTGGCTGAGTTATGAATTTTTTAAAATTTTGGTAATTTTTTCGGCCAAAATTTCCGCTAAAAAAAATTATTTTTTTGAAAATAAAGATAGATAGGGCAAATTGGATATCATTCGAAAGCCCTCGTCGAGCTGAGTTTAAAAATATTTTGTTCGAAATTTTTCGGGACATTTTGACGAAATTACAGATGTTCGAAAATTTGCGTAGTGGAGTACTGTACACGGAGAAGTATGGTAGGGAGAGAGGAAAAATGATTGACAGGTGAAATGAGTGGAAGAGAAGCAAAATTTTTCTGCGTCTCTGACCATGCGTGGCAAACTGTAGAAGAGTTTAAGGCTGAATTTTGTATATCTGGAGAAATTTTGTGGGGGATAAGCAGGATCCGAGGATGGATCCGAAGCAGAAGCATGCTTCTGCTTCAACTTTTTGCTTCAATTCTGAAGCTGAAACAAAATTTTTGGAAGCATTGCTTCAAGTTTCGAATTTCGAATGTTGAAGCAAATTTGCTTCGAGTTTCGAACTTTCGAAACATGAAGCAAATTTGCTTCAACTTTTGAATTTTTGCAAGTTGAAGCAAAATTGCTTCAACTTTTGAAAATTTTGATTTTTGAAGCAAAATTGCTTCGGTTTTTGAAATTTTTTTAAGGTTCGAAAGACGGACTTCGAAATTCGAATTTTTCGAAATTGTAAAGTATGGGAATCCGGGATTTTCGAAATCCGGGATTTAGGGTTTGGAGAATATGTTCGAATGAGTGGGGAAGACAAGGCCGAAGTGACTCTAAGTGGAAGGATGAGTCCCAACGAGGAACTCATTGCTTCAACTTTAAATTTTGATTTTTGAATCAATCAGAAACTTATCCCGACCACACCATTAATAGACCCCTTTATGTGCTTCAATTTAATAGTAGATTCGTCTTCATATGTACTGTATACAGTTCAGTATATCCATTTAAAATCCAAACCTTGAAACTTTTGTGAAGTGACAAAATTTAAAATCCCCTCAACTTTTGTTAAGCACATTCACGAGCGTTAAGTTATATCTCATTTTAAAGCACTGATAATGCTCTATTAAAATAGTGCTTAGGAAAATGCAAGTCTTCAAAATAAAAAAATTTTAACTCAAGGACAGGCCAAAAAATTCCGGCCAAAAAATTATTTTTTCAAAAATAAAGATAGATATGTCAAATTGTATATCATTGGACTAATTTCCAAAAAGACTAATTTCGAAGTTTGTAGTTCGAAAACCGAGATTTGAGTCTGGGACTGATATGGTTTTGGGCCAACTCTTCGGGTACTTAAATCTCAAATCTTATCCCGACCACACCATTAATAGACCCTTATCTGTGCTTCAATTTAATAGTATATTTGTCTGCATAAGTATTGTATACAGTTCAGTATATCCATTTAAATTTTCAAAAGTCTGGGACTGAAATGGTTTTTCGACCATAACTTTTTGGGAAAATTTTTTAGAATTTTTTCGACTTCGGATTCGGAATCAGCGTGTTTGGTTCTACTATAAAACACGTTTTTTGTGTTTAAATTAAAAAATTTTATACCCTCGATTTTTTCCAAAGGGGTACCCCTTCTAAAAAATATTCAGAAATTTTCAAAAAATCATAACTATTTAGGGGATTGAGATTTTTGGATTGAATTTCTTTTATAAAATAGTACTAAAAATTAGAAATTTTTTAAAGTCAAAAAATTCTGAAAAACTTCAAAACTGGAGCCGTAGGGGTCGGTTTTTTAAAAATCCGAAATTTTTCGGTTTTTTGAAAATTTTTTGGTTTTTTGTTGCAGGATAAGTGTAAATGTATTTTTCCCTTATAGAGTAGATTTTTCTTTGTAGAATAGGATCTTAAAATTATCAGAAAGCTTTACTTTGGCTAAGTTATAAATTTTTTAAAATTTATAACTTACTTATATAAAAATGTGGAAGTTCGATTTTAAAAAATCATAATTCGATTTCGAGTAGAGATTCTTGAAACAGCAAAGTTTTGTTTCAAAGAATTTATTAGAAGCGAGGGCCGAAGGCCCGAGCTGACATCCACTTAAAACTTGAAGCAAAGTTTTGCTTCTAAAAATTTTGAGAAGCGAGGGCCGAAGGCCCGAGCTGACATCCACTTAAAACTTGAAGCAAAGTTTTGCTTCTAAAAATTTTGAGAAGCGAGGGCCGAAGGCCCGAGCTGACATCCACTAAAACTTGAAGCAAAGTTTTGCTTCTGAAAAATTTTGAGGAGCGAGGGCCGAAGGCCCGAGCTGACATCCACTTAAAACTTGAAGCAAAGTTTTGCTTCTAAAAAATTTTGAGAAGCGAGGGCCGAAGGCCCGAGCTGACATCCACTTAAAACTTGAAGCAAAGTTTTGCTTCTGAAAAATTTTGAGGAGCGAGGGCCGAAGGCCCGAGCTGACATCCACTTAAAACTTGAAGCAAAGTTTTGCTTCTGAAAAATTTTGAGGAGCGAGGGCCGAAGGCCCGAGCTGACATCCACTTAAAACTTGAAGCAAAATTTTGTTTCAAAGAATTTATTAGAAGCGAGGGCCGAAGGCCCGAGCTGACATCCACTTAAAACTTGAAGCACAGTTTTGCTTCTGAAAATTTTGAGGAGCGAGGGCCGAAGGCCCGAGTTGACATCCACTTAAAACTTGAAGCAAAGTTTTGCTTCTGAAAAATTTTGAGAAGCGAGGGCCGAAGGCCCGAGCTGACATCCACTTAAAACTTGAAGCAAAGTTTTGCTTCTAAAAAATTTTGAGAAGCGAGGGCCGAAGGCCCGAGCTGACATCCACTTAAAACTTGAAGCAAAGTTTTGCTTCTGAAAAATTTTGAGGAGCGAGGGCCGAAGGCCCGAGCTGACATCCACTTAAAACTTGAAGCAAAGTTTTGCTTCTGAAAAATTTTGAGGAGCGAGGGCCGAAGGCCCGAGCTGACATCCACTTAAAACTTGAAGCAAAATTTTGTTTCAAAGAATTTATTAGAAGCGAGGGCCGAAGGCCCGAGCTGACATCCACTTAAAACGTTTTATTAGAAGCGAGGGCCGAAGGCCCGAGCTGACATCCACTTAAAACTTGAAGCACAGTTTTGCTTCTGAAAATTTTGAGGAGCGAGGGCCGAAGGCCCGAGCTGACATCCACTTAAAACTTGAAGCAAAGTTTTGCTTCGAAAAATTTTGAGGAGCGAGGGTCGAAGGCCCGAGCTGACATCCACTTAAAACTTGAAGTAAAATTTAACTTCAAAAAATTTTGAGAAGCGAGGGCCGAAGGCCCGAGCTGACATCCACTTAAAACTTGAAGCAAAGTTTTGCTTCTGAAAATTTTGAGGAGCGAGGGCAGAAGGCCCGAGCTGACATCCACTTAAAACTTGAAGCAAAGTTTTGCTTATGAAAAATTTTGAGGAGCGAGGGCCAAAGGCCCGAGCTGACATCCACTTAAAACTTGAAGCAAAGTTTTGCTTCTAAAAAATTTTGAGAAGCGAGGGCCGAAGGCTCGAGCTGTCATCTACTTAAAACTTGAAGCAAAATTTTGTTTCAAAGAATTTAGTAGAAGCGAGGGCCGAAGGCCCGAGCTGACATCCACTTAAAACTTGAAGCACAGTTTTGCTTCTGAAAATTTTGAGGAGCGAGGGCCGAAGGCCCGAGCTGACATCCACTTAAAACTTGAAGCAAAGTTTTGCTTTTAAAAAATTTTGAGAAGCGAGGGCCGAAGGCCCGAGCTGACATCCACATAAACTTGAAGCAATGTTTTGCTTCTAAAAAATTTTGAGAAGCGAGGGCCGAAGGCCCGAGCTGACATCCATATAAACTTGAAGCAAAATAATTGTTTCAAAGAAATTTTTAGAAGCGAGGGCCGAAGGCCCGAGCTGACATCCACATAAACTTGAAGCAAAATAATTGTTTCAAAGAAATTTTTTAGAAACGAGGGCCGAAGGCCCGAGCTGACATCCACTTAAAACTTAAAGTAAAATTTAAGTTCAAAAAATTTTGAGAAGCGAGGGCCGAAGGCCCGAGCTGACATCCAAATAAACTTGAAGCAAAGTTTTGCTTTTAAAAAATTTTTATAAGCGAGGGTTTATAATCCATTTAAACTTGAAGTAAAATTTAAGTTCAAAAAATTTTGAGAAGCGAGGGCCGAAGGCCCGAGCTGACATCCAAAGTATAAGAAGAGAAGGCATGTTTATGCGTCTCTATCCATCATCTGTAAACCGTCAAATAAATTACAAAATAAAAAGAAGAGAAATATTAAATGTAGACAGTAAAATTTCTAGCGGCGAGCGAAGCGAGCCCCCAAAGCCGAAGGCTTTCAACGCGCAGAAATAAATTAATATAGAGTACTGTAACTAAACCCTCCCAGCTATTTACCGCCTGCACCTGATAGGCCTCCACTAGTTAATAATATAAAATATCAAGGCAACTCAGTTTTTAAAAACTCATAACTGCCGGCCGAAGGCCGGCACGGATTTGGAAGTTGTGGAAGGGTCCTACAACTTTTTGAGGGGTATTTAGGAAAAATATAACCGCGGCGCCACAACTTTGTCTTTGCGCCGAAAAGACCCCCTAAAGTTTCTAACTTTTGAACCGTAAGTCGGAGCGGAAAACTTCTGCTGGGAGGCGACTGGCCCACGATTAGTAGATAATGTTTAAAAAAAAAATTTCGAAATTCGGTAAAGTCTAAATACCGAAGTGCCTTGCTAACCCTTTTTAAATGTTGGCAAAATGTGGTGCCATTGGAGGTTGGCAAAATGTGGAGGTGAGAGATCTCGGGAACGGCTGGGCGGATTAAGATGGGACTTGGGGGGTATTAGGTAGTTGGGCAAGAGAAATTTTTTGGGGTGGGTAGTTTCGGCGCCGGACTTGAGTGCGGCGCCGAAATGGCCGGACGAAAATTTCAACGCGTTATAACGCGTTTTTGAGAACTTGGGGGTCTTGGGGCCTGGGAGTGATATTGTAGGGTTGGATGTTGGGAAGTTATAAATAAGCGGACACTAGAGTCTCGGGTGAACTTTTGGGGGTGTTTTGGGTCAAAGTGTCAATGTCGAAAAGTCGACTTTTTCTAACGTGAATTGAAACTCGATTTCGATAGCCAGATCGAAAGAGCGTCCCTTGGGGCTCCGAAAAAGGTATCATATGTTGGGGGTCCACTTGAGTCTCAAAAAGTTATAGCCAAATTGGCAAAATGTCGCAAATCTTTTTGAGACTCTAACGTCCCGGGGAAATTTTTTTAAATTATTTCGAGGACGGATTCGTACTCAGCGGGTGTCAGAGTACCATATAGGCCTATTTTTGACCCAAAATTCGAAAATTTTTTCCCTCCCCCTATTTCCAAAGGGGTACCCCTTTTGGGGAAAATTCGGGATTTTTTGGGGGACCTTAACTTTTTTTGGGATTATCGGATTGGGATGAGGTTTCTTTCATAAAATCGAGTAAAAAATTAGGTATTTTTTGAGCCGAAAAAATTTCGAAAAAATTCGAAATTGAACCCGTAGGGGTCGAATTTCGAAAATTCGAAAAATTTTCGGTTTTTCGAAATTTTTTCGGGATTTTTGCCGACGGTTCGGGGTTTAAGTATTTTTCCTGGATAGAGCAGTATTTTCTGCACCCGACAAGAGTAGTAATGGAAACCCCCCAGTAGTCAACAAACACCCAAGTAGTCACCCCAGACTCAAACTCCCCTTGCCATCGATTTTTCATCAATAATTATTTACTGTACCTAACACTTTCTTCCCCTTTATTTTTCCCTTTTATTTTATTGATTTCAAGAAGGTTTGGGTTTCTCTATGAGAGAAAGCCAAAACCTTCTTACCAACCATTTTTTCCCACTTCTCCATTTTCGGAATTTTTTGCTTTTTTTATTAATACACTTAATTTTTAGATTCTTCGCCAAATTATACAGGAAATTGATTATGACAATGATGGAATTGTTTCGTTAGAGGAGTGGAAACGTGGGGGATTAATCACAATTCCTGTACTTGTTTTACTTGGATTTGACACGGTTTAATTTTAAAATTATTTTTGAGGCCAGAAAGGGGAAGGGAAGGAATTTAAGGGTTAGTAAAGAAGGGAGATGGCTGTTAAGCCTTTTATTTGATTAACTTTATTAAAATAAAATTTTTGTATATTTAGCAACATATTGCAATGTTTGTTTGAATATGTTAGTTGGTTGGGGAGGTAAACAAGGATTAGCTTGTTCTCTTTGTAAATACACTGTACACGAACGTTGTGTTCATTCAGCATCAAATAATTGTATTCATACATACAATTCTAATGCTTCTTCTATGAGAGAACAACCAATTCAACAACATTATTGGATGGATTCTAATTGGTTTTTTTATTAATTTTATTTTTTAAATATTTTTTAAAGTGCTGGAAAGTGTTCAAAATGTAAAGCAAATGTAGGAATATTTCAAGGGAGGCATTGTCGTTGGTTGATTGCCAAGCTGATCAAATTTTTATTTTTTATCAAATCTTATTATGGTATAATTTCATCATTTTTTCAGTTAAAAACAATTCCGTTATCACCAAATGGCCGTTCTCGCCCTCTATTGGTTTTAATTAATCCAAAAAGTGGAGGAAGGCAAGGCGAACGTATTTTTAGAATGTATGTTTTTCTATTGAAATTTATTTAGCTTTTAACATTCTATTTAACAATTTCTTTTTAGAATCGTTGTTATATTGGCTACACTGTCGACCCTAACAGGCGCATTCGTCAGCACAATTCTAGCAGAGAACATGGAGGAGCGAAAAAAAACTAATAGCAAAGGACCTTGGTATAATTTAAAAGACTGGATTTTAGTTTTAGAACTTAATTTAGGGATATGGTTTGTATAGTCCATGGCTTTCCAAATGCAATTTCTGCGCTCCAGTTTGAATGGGCTTGGCAAAACCCAGATAAATCAAAACGACTCAAACGTCGTTACATGCAAAAAGATCGGAAAGAAACTCCTTTTGCTTTTTTGCTTTCGAATTGTTATTCAAATGTTAAACACCCGACCTTGGCGAGAATTGGCATTGACTTTTAGGTTTTTACTTAATTTTAAGAATGTACAAGTTAAAGTTCAGGTGACTGATGAAGGTAATGAAAATTTGTGCTGAAATTCTTGTTATTTAGGAATATGAAATTCCTTTCAACCACAACTTGACCCTACCTCCACACATGAAATTGGCTTATGGAAAAGTGCAAAAATCATCGGTGTTGATTCCGATTGAACTGAATGCATACACAACATTAAGAAATTGTGAAGTTTGTAAATCATCAATTCCCCAGGTTATTTCAAAAATTAAATTTCTTTTTTAAATAATTTATTTGAAGATAATACACGCTCTTAGATGTCCAGTATTTGAAGTTTGTGGTGCGCATTTCCATGGTTTTTCTATTTAGAATAATAATAACTCACAACTTCTTAAAATTAGCTTCTTGTCTTGCTGAGCGTTGTTTAGAATCTGAAGGACATTTGGAGGAAAAGGTTTTAATGTGATAGTTGTGGTTGAGATGGAACTGTTGGATGGGTATTAGAATCAACGGGCAATTTTAATGGATTTTTTTGGATATTGTTGGCTTGTTTACAATTTTTTATGAAATGAAATAAAAAGATAAGTTGAAAATGGAATAATGATTTAAAATGGGATGGGGGGGGGGGGCTGAAAGTGTACCTAGGACCGGATACCAGGGACCAATGGATACCAGGGACCGGTTAATACCGGATACAGGGGACCAATGGATACACGGGACCGGTTAAAACTTCATACGTGGGACCAGACAGGACACCCGGGACCGGCCACAACCGGATACTGGGAACCAGTCAGGATACCCGGGGGTCGGATACCAAGGACCAATGGATACCAGGGACCGGTTAATACCGGATACTGGGGACCAATGGATACAGGGACCGGTTCAAACTTGATACGTGGGACCAGACAGGATACCCGGGACCGGCCACAACCGGATACTGGGAACCAGTCAGGATACCCGTGGGATACTCGGGACCGAATACAAACCGGATACTGGGGACCAATGTATACCAGGGACCGGATACTGGGGACCAGTCAGGATACCGGGACCGGTCACAACCGGATACTGGAACCAGCCAGGATACCCGGGGGTCGGATACCAGGAACCAATGGATACTCGGGACCGAATACAAACCGGATACTGGGGACCAAAGATACCAGGGACCTATTCCATTTATGAAAATAATTTAATTTTAAAAATTTTTCTAACTTAAAAATTATAGTTCGACAAATGTTGGCTGATTCCAATTTGTTGTTCAACTGGTAATGTTTTTCATGAAGAATGAGGTTAGCCCCCCCCCCCTACCCCAAAAAAAACTTATTTTTATTTAGGATTAAAAAGAAAAAACAACAAATAATTATTTTATTTTATTTAAATAATTTTATTTTGATAAAATTATAAATATTTATATAAAATTAATTAAATGTTTACCAACATAATATCTAAAATTTTTTGGAATTAATTTTTATAAATATGTTTTAAAGATGAGAGAATACTCTGAATTTGATGCTTTACAACAGGAGGAGGAGGAGGTTGAGTTTAAATTTAATTTTTATAAAAATAATTTAAGATGGACTATAAAGTAGAAAAAATTTTGGGGAAAAAATTAAAAAATGGGAGAGAGCAATATTTGATCAAGTGGTCTGGATTTGGACCAGAATGGAGTAATTTCAAAATTGTTTAAATTTTTAACAATGTTTTTGTTTTAGACTCTTGGGAGCCTAAAAAAAATATACAGCACTTGGACGAATTTAAAAATTATTTTTTGGAGGAGAAGGAAGAAGAATTGTTGGCTAGAGAGGAGAAGCTAGAACGGTTGGATAGATGCTCTCGTAGAGCATCACGAGAAGCTCTAAAAAAAATTTTTTTAATTGTAAAATTTAAAAAATTTTTTACCTTTTATTTGGTTTTTTAATTTTAGAATTCTCCCAATTGCATGAGGCGAAAAATTGTAGACGAAGCACAAGTTGATTCAATGCAAGAAGAGGAGGAAGACGAAGAGGAGGAAGACTTTGAAGGGGGAAATTATGGAATGGAAGGAATGGGGGATGCTTCTTTTGGAGAAGATAGTAATTTTTAAAAATATATTTTGATTGATTTAAAATTAAAAAATTTTTAGAGGAAGGCTTTGAAGGGGGAAATTATGGAATGGAAGGAATGGGGGAAGCTGCTTTTGGAGAAGATAGTAATTTTTAAAAATATATTTTGATTGATTTAAAATTAAAAAATTTTTAGAGGAAGGCTTTGAAGGGGGAAATTATGGAATGGAAGGAATGGGGGAAGCTGCTTTTGGAGAAGCTGGTAATTTTTAAAAATATATTTTGATTGATTTAAAATTAAAAAAATTTTCCAAGTTTTAGACCCTTTTACAAGTACTGATTTGTGCAAAATGCTGGGACTAATTGATGTTCAATTTGAATATAATGAGGAGGACTTTGAATATATTTCGTTTGAAAAGGTTATACAGAAAACTTTTAAATTATTTTTGTTTTTAAACTATTTACTTCAAATAAAATTTTTTATTTTTAGTCGTTCAATGTTCGCTTTCGTCAACAATTCCAAGATATGAATCCAACAGCAAGTGTGCCAGTTGTTAGTGATGTTATGTCATTAAAATATAATGAATTTCAAGTTGGTTAAAATTTTTTAACATGAAAATTTTTTAAAAAATTTAAAATTAAATAGGAATTTTAATACGAAAAATCTAACTGATAGTAATTGAATGAAATTATATTTAATTAAATTTGCAGAATATGCGTGCTGGACGTGGCAAACAATTAGCTAGTAAGAAAGTTGACCGAATCGCAGGATCTACTTCGAATCCAGCAACTTCAAAAGATTTACAACCAACGTCATCTGGTGCTGGTTCTTCTGGACAAATTAAAAAAGTGGTTAAAAATTTTTAATATCAAAACTTTTTAAAAAATCTTAAAATTAAAAATTTTAATTTTAAAATTTAAATAAGAATTTTTAATATGAAAAATCTAACTGATTGTAATCGAATGAAAATTATATTTATTTAAATTTGCAGAATATGCTTTCTGGTAAGAAAGTTGTCCGATTTGCTGAATCTACTTCGAATCCAGCATCTTCAAAAGATTTACAACCAACGTCCTCTGGTACTGGTTCTTCTAGTAAAAAAGTGACACCTCTAAAAATTAGCCTGAAGAGAAAAAATGATGGTCACGAAAAATTTCACTTTTATTTTTAGAAAATTTTTACTTTTTTAATTTTTCAGCTAACTCCAATCAAGAATTTGAATCTCTTTTAAAAGAAGATAAGAAAGTGAAGACAAAGGAGGAACACAAAAAAGAACGTGCCGAGGCCAAGAAAAATAAGGAATCGGAAAAACGAGAAAAAGAAGAAAAATGGCAAAAATTTTTTGAGGCTTGTTGTGATATACCTACAGAAACTAGGAAAAAATATGCTTCTGCGTTTGTGAAGCAAAGAATACAGCCACATCTTCTACCTGATTTGGGTTATTTTTTTCTAATTTTTTTAATTTTGAATAATTAAGGAAAGGATGATCTCCGTACATTAGGTATTTCTGCTTTGGGGGATCAGGTAGTTTTTTGAGTCTAAAAATAACAATTTTCTTTTAAAATTTCTATAAGTTTTTTTCTAAATTAAAATTAAATTTTTAATAATTTCACAGCTTGGTATCATAAAGTACATAAAATTATGTGGCGGAACACCGCCTGAATTTCTTCCTCCAACAGAAGAGACGGTCACACCTCCTGCTCCAGCTACACCTCCTCCTGTTCAAGCTACACCTCCTGCTCCAGTGACACCTAACCATGCTCCAGTTGATGGTAATTTTAAAATTTTATTATAAATTAAAAGATTTATGAAAATTTTTTGGAAATTTTTTAAAAATACTTTTAAAATTTTTTGGAAATTAAAACTTTTTTCAAGATGATCTTCTAATACTTGAAGAAGAAGAGGATGTTTATAACCCCACAAAACCAATTTTGTCGCCAGCTCCAGATCGTCATGATATTTATCATATTAAAATGCCTACTGGAGAGAGTACTTCAAAAAAAGCTAAAAATGTTTTGGAAGTGGATAATGGTCAGTATATAAAAATTTGAAAATTTTTTGAAAAATTAAAAATTTTTCCAGGCACTACTAAAACTATGGTCGTAAAAGATGCTTCTAGTACATTGATTGGACGTGGAATGTATTAAAAAATTTTTTAATTTCTAAAGTTTAATTTTAAGAGTTGCAAATGAGTCAGCTGAAAATAATCGAGTGAATTTGGGGGTTGAAATTCAGAATGGGTCAAAAAATGCTAAAAATATTTTGGAAGTGCATAATTGTCAGTATATAAAAAATTTTGATTTATTGAAAATTAAATAAATTTAAGTGAATTTGGGAGCCGACATTGCTGCAGCATTAGTGGCTCCGTTACCAAATGGAGAGCTGAATATTGAAGGTTATTATAATTTTTAACTAACGGGTCATTCTTAAGTATAATAATAAATAGGAAAGGTTTATTAAAAAATTATATTTTTCGGATGCCATACTTTTAAATTATATTGGGTTGTTTTTAACTAGAATGGGTTTAAGTCTTCCTCATTGGGTTAATTAATTTTGTGTCTTTGTCAATTTTTAATGGATCAAAAGTTATTATTAGGACCTATTTCTTTAATATTCCAAAATTTCATGTTTCTTGGTAAAATTTCATATTTAATTTTTAGATGATTATTTGGAGGAACAACAACAACCTGAACGTCCTCAACAACCTGAAAATATCGGTGGTGGAAATCAAAATGAGAAAAAGGATACAGTATGTTTTTAAAAATTTTAAATCTTTCCAAATTTTTTAAATTTCTTTTATAGTAAAACATATAATGATTTGAAAGAAAAGCTGACTCGAATGACACCAAAATCAAAATATTTAAACATAGTTTTGTTTTAATCTCTCAATTTTTCAGGGAAATTAAGCTTTTCAGAAACATCAAATTTAACCGATCTTGGTATCATTCGACCCAGCTTCTCTTTCAAATCATTATATTTACAACTTTCTATTAATATTAATATTTTAGCGAACTGGCGCTGGTCGTCGAAAGAAAAAGAAGGAGAAGGAGAAGATAAGAAAGGAGAAAAATTTGAAGGAGAAAAATGGAAATTAAAAATTTTTAAAAATTTTTTCTAATTTATAAAATTTTTTAAATTTTCTTCTAATTTTATTTAAAAATAAACTTTAATCAAATTTTTTTTAGTTGTTTATATTAGGAGTAATAATAAGTTTTTAGATTAATTTATTCTTTTGTGTAAGTTAAGTAAAAAATTGGATGGAAAATTCTGGATTGAAACATCTGGATGGAAAATTATTAAAAATTCTCATTAAATATAAACATTCTTCAAATGATAATTTAGTTCATCTCTAAAAATTTTAGGTTTAAAAAAGCATTAACTAGTGTATCTAATTTACAACTACGACCTGTACCCGATTAATATACCATAAGATATAGTAGGTTAAACTTTTGTTGGTTATTTATTTTATGAATTTTAGGTTTAAATTTTTAATTTAGGATTAAAAAATTATTTTTATTAAAATTTATTAAAATGTTCAACCCTATTATGTGGGTTATTATTTTTAATTGCACTTGTCCAAACAATCAAGTGTGCCTTCGCCCAAAGGGGCTTAAATACCCTATTATTTGTGTTGATGAAAAAATTAGTTTGAATTTAAATGAATATCTCACAAACCCTACAAAGGTTTGTGAGAATTCAATTGTTTGGTCAACAATGGCTATTTTCATCACACAGGTAACTTAAATTTTTAAATATTTTTTAGTCTTAAAACTGGGAATGGGGCAGTATTTTTCGGTATTTATCGGGTTTTTTGGTAGTTTTTACAATAGTACAAAATTCCAGGCTCTACTTAAAATAATTAAAAAATAACATATCTTAAGGTGTTTATGATTATTTGCCTTCTTTTTATTTTGATAATGCTGTTTATTATTAAAAAAAGGCAAACTATTTCTACTGGTACTTAATTTTTTAAGTTTATAAAAAAAAGATTTTTTCAGAAATGTCCAAGAAAATATCTGTCCCTTTTATAAACGCTGAGCGTATCTGCCGCCCAAAGAAGGCACCACCACCACCACCATCTGGCACTTTTGAGGAGATAGAGTTGAATTAAAGGAAAATTAAATAAAAATAATTTTAAGTTTTATGTTTATTCATAATTAAATAAATTAGATAAATGTTAATTAATAAATACTTAAATTAAGTGTTAGGTATGTGGGTCTAGTATAAAAGCAGTTTTTTGAAAATTTTTATGAGGTTATTATTAATTATTATTGAAAAATAAAGGTTAAAATTATTGAGGTGTTACTGAAATTATTGCATTGTTTTAATTAAAATTAAATATAATCAAAAATATTTCTTAATTTTGCGGTAAATAGTTGTTTAAAATATTAAAATTGGTTACGTGGTTAAAAATGGTTAATAGTGGTTAGTAGTGTTTAAATATTTAAAAAAATCTTAACCATTTATTAAAAGGAAAAATTAATTCCTTTAATATTGTCCTCCAATTCAACCCATTCGTCGCCCCCGGACAATATGAACCGCTTCAAATGTTGGCCCTATCTTTTTACAGATAGGGCAGCGGTTATTCCATTCTTCCCCAGCTCGACGCTTACATTCCAAACAGAAGACTAAGTGTCCACAATTGTAGACAATTTGAGGTCGCGCAACCAAGCAACCAATACACTCTGGGGCAGAGTATGCCCGAATCATTTGGAAGCTACCTGTGATTTATATATAAAATTTTTATTTTACTAAAAATTATACCATCCTGATGAAAAATGGGCACATGCCCACCATTTAATTCCGGAACCGGTTGGACCACTTCTTCTTCTAAAGGTACACGAAGTGGTTGCATCTCAACCAAATTTGCGTTCCTTGGTGGAAGATCCTGTGTCTGAACAGGCTGAAGTGGTGGCACAACTTCGGGTGCCGAATCTCCAAAAGCGTAAACTGTAAAGAAAAAAGGTTGTTTAAATATATTAAAGTTTATTACCGATCCCAGCAGGATGTGTACCCTGATGGTCTGACGATTGATTTCGGGCACGTAAAAGTCGCCCGTTAGCCTCGTCATCTTCGCGATTTCCGGGTACCTTAAAAATTTTTAAAAATGTGAACTAAAGCTAAATATTACCTCAGCTCGACGGGATCGTCGCGCTTGTAAAAATTCACGCTGAGGAATACTCCATGTATTCGAACGGCCCGATCCATACTTCATCTAAATTGAAAGATAATGTTTAAAACAAGTTGATGAATACCTCTAAATCTCGGACACGTTTTCGCAAAATTTCCATGTCGTAATATTGCCAGCTGGCAACATTACGAAGATTTGCGAGTTCTGATTTGAACTCGCTATGCTCTTTGATCAAGCGAGTAAAGTCGCAGATAAAAATAGGTTGGGGAGGATTCATTTTGGGGTTTATTTTGGTAAGATTTGTTTGGGATAGATAGGAAATGGGTTAATGAAAACAAAAATTTTCTACCAACTGTCACTTGTCCTAACACCAAAAATTTACATATTTTATTTATGTTTTTCGTCTTTAAAGGGTGACAGTAATATCTTCAACTGTCAGCTGAAAAACATTCAACAAGAGAACCGCGGCATCAAGAAAAGAACAATGATAGAAAAGCCAAGAGAAAGGCTAAAGCTTTAAAAAATAGTAATGAGGGATAAAATTAAAAATAGATTTATTATGAGGGATAAAATTTTACAAAAGTTTAATATATTTTTAAATTTTATTTTTAAATTCTAAACACGCCCACTTTACGGGTATAAATAGACTTTCGAACTTTTCACTTTTGAAAAATGTGTGATTCAAATTCTGACACTAAAGAATTACAACCATCTTTAATACCTACAGGTTTAGTGTTTGACCAAAATCTGTGGAAGCTTGTCAAGCCAAAGTATGTGCTTCAATTTTATTTCTGCAAAGAATGTAGAGATAATTTATTCCGAGCTAATGATAAATTGATGAGATTTGAAAATGGGGTCACTATTAAATTTAATCTTTGTGAAGAATGTGTCACAAAGAACTGTCGTGCGACTGATATTTTTAAATAAATTTATTGAAAAAGGGAAGGGGGAGATGTATTTAAAGAACTAAAAATTGTATAAATATTCATTCTTCGAAAATGGTTCTTGTAATAGATGCAATCTGTGACTTGTTAAATTGTTCACCTTTATCCTTATCTGTTCATTTAGACGATCCTCATACAAGGATTCATATTTTAAAGGAATTTCTGGATCGTAAGGTTCGTACAACTTATCTCAATAGAAATTCTGAAAAGAAAATCTTTATTTTTGGAGGTATAACAAGAAAAGGTGCGAATAAAATTCGTGCATACGGACCACTTAGACGTACATTTAATGTTACAATTTCTCAACATTTTTATACGAGACATCGTATTAAACTTCGATATCCCAACCTAAAATGTATAATAGATCGACGTCCATGGGAGAAGGATCGCTTTTATCCTTTAGAACTTTTGGAATTTGTAGATGAGGAGGAAGAAACTTCGTGGCTGTCTTCAAAGTTCTCTGATAAAGTAAAAATATCTCCTCCTGGTAGTCCGGAAATAATTATGAATGAGGAATTTGACGACGAGATGGTAATTTACAGAGGAGACTTCAGTCAGGACGGGTGGTAATATTTACTGATAACATACACTCCTACACATAAGCTTACACTTGTTCCAATTAGAAAATTTATTAATTGATAAAAATTAATCAAATTTTATATTTTTAAATTAAAGACACTTAAAAATAATCCTTGATTTCTTAATTATGTATTTTTACTCTATAATTTTATGTTTTCTAATATAAAATTAGAATTATTTTAAATTATTATTGTATGATTTTCAATAATATCAATTTTATTTTTTAATTTTTAATTTATTTTTTAATAAATAAATAAAATAAAAATTTATACAAATTGCGTACAATTTAAAATAAGTAATTGAACAAAAAAATATGAAAATAAAAATTCAAAATGAAATACGTGGGTGACGGTTGCTTACATATCCAAAGTCGAGAACGGTAAAGTCCGAAGGGCGGACTATACCCTTGCCAACAAATGGCTTATAAATTTTTTTAAGGGGATAAGAGGTCACAGTGCCGGATCGAATTGATGGTCTTAAGAAATTTGGGTAGACAATTTGTATAGGAATATTATTAAATTTTGTAAAATTAAAAATTTGATCCCTAAATGTTTCGTAATATAACCCCTGATTTTTAATTATATCATTATTGAGTGTTATTCCTCTCACCTTTAAAACATATTCTACCTCTGTACTCGCCTTCTTTTGTAATTTTAAACCATATTGTTTCGCCCCACCCGAGCAGTATTCGATTATTTCATGATTGGGGTACTCATCGGTAAACTGACCTAGGTGGGGACCAAGTTCAAGAGGACAAATATTTTTTGGATGAGTGAAAATTAAGGAATCTGTGTCCGTATATAGAAGTTGACAGCCAGGAGTCCTGACAACTTTTTGCATTGCATGCAACAAGTGAATCCTCGCTGCCGAAGTCGTCCATAATGAAATAATTACATTAGAACATTGATGTTCTTCCACAAAATCTTTATTTTTTATATATCCTATAAGAATCACATTTTCAGAAAGCTCGTCAATTGAGTTGATTTCTATTGTATTGTCTTCAAATTTTTTGCACAATTCTGAAGGATCATCCGTAATCTGGCATTGTGTTAAACCAAAATTCCTAAGAGAGAAACGACCCCATAAATTATTTAGACTTAATTTTGCCAAGGTTCTTTTTCCCTTATTTAATTCCATTTTTTCTTTTTCAATATTTATTCCAAACATTTCTTTGCACTCGTTTATGAATTGATTTTCCTTTTCTACATTTCCCTTAATATTATGGTCAAAGCCAGAAGCGTGTATTTTCTGAGACATAAATTGGCTAATATAGGGCTGAAAAAGATGTTCATCATATTCTGAATATTCAAGCACTCTGTAAAGTTTAGTTACCAAATACCCTTCCTTAAGTGCTTCATTTAGTTCAATTGAGGTACACGTAGATACCCAGCCTCTTTGATCGTCATTATGTTGGCATGAATAATTTTCTTTAACATCTCCACGTGGATTTTCACGTGCACAAGTAGAACATAAAGGGAACAATAATCTTTCATCATCATCTCCTAATTTCATAGGTAGTACAGGTATATCTATCTGTCGAGGTGGAACTACAAATACTTTTAAGATTGCAATTTCATAAGTGTTATCTTCAGGCTTGTTCCAGCTGACATTTTTATTAAATATGTGGACTCGAGGATGACCAATTGGGTAGCGAGTGGTGACATTTACATACGGGTATAAGGAGGTTACATCATAGTATGAAATTTTTTGTTCTGGCTCAATACTATGAAAAAGTTTTAGAGGCCCCGTCCTTCCACCATAAAAAGCTGATCTGAGATTAATTGGACCATCATCTCGATAAGTTTTAAACATTCTTCTCATTTCTATATCCTTCAATAACATTTTTCTAATGTCGCATTCCCAATATATTTTAATATTTACCCCTAAGCTTCTAATAATATCTAGACGTTTTTTATCCAACTCTCGTTGATTTTCCACAGTTTTACCATTTGGAAGTAGCATGTTTTTGTCTTTATAACATTTTCTACACCCGTGCCAGCAACACCCATTTATCTCAATTCCAAGCTTCTCCTCTTCTATCCATCCATCTAGTCTATAATTCTCAATTCTTTTTTCCCCATCTTTTGAGTGAGCTGTTCTCACAATAACATTATGCTTTTCTGAATACCAATTGAGAAATTTCAATGCAAGCATGCTTTGGTTATCAACATTATCATATCCTTTCTCTGGAACTATTCCCAAATGGTTAGGTTTTAAGTGATTTAGACGGAAATGTTTTATACATGCACTTGCAATTGTCATGGCTTCGCGTAGTACATCAAGTCCATTGGAAATATCCATAAAATCCTTACGAAATGTTATTAAAGCCGCTAAAAGAATTTCGACATCATTAACACAATAAGCTGCCAATTGTTCTTCTAGTAGGAAAGGTTTGTTATGATTTGCCTCGAACCATTTATCAAACTGAATTCTCTTTTCTGGCATCATTGATTCCGCTAAATAGTCCTGCTTAGATGGATAAATTAACTTTTCATAATTTTCGGGTCTATTAGCCATATGTGGGAAGAATGGCTTATCTTGTACAGTTAAAGCAAATGCTGGTATTAGCGCTGCAAGTGACATTGGTAGTAGGTTAAAACTGTCTCTGAATATTATTGTACATTTTTTATTCCTCACCTTCATTTCATACATTTTATTCCCTTTTTTTATCATTTCAGGAGTCATTCCTCGAAGAAACAATGCTTTGAAAACAATTACCATATCAAACCTTCCACCGAAATGTGAAAATACAACTGTATCATTTTCCAAAGTTAGGATCCAATTTACAAAATCAGTAAGTGGATATAATGTGACATTTTGTTTATCCACGGTTGTATTCCTAAAAGGTTTTATTGAAAACGTTAAAGATTTAAACTTCCCACAGATGGTGCAGTCTGTTGTATCTCCATTTTGTATACAGCTCGGACAAGTAACTTTTACTGCTATAAAATTTGGTTCATGTATTCTTTTCTGATCAACGATTCTATGTTGCATAGTTTCAAGGTCGAAAACTATTATCCTGTATGGATTTTGTTCCTTCGGAGTTAATGGAGCTATGTAACATCCACGCTTAGGGTTGTGAAATACTTTACATCTAATACAAAAATTTTCAGAACATTCATGACCTTTTCTTCCATTATTTGTATTTTTATGAACATTCCAGATTACACCACATTTTGTACATTTTTTAGAATTTTTACAAATATTTGAATCAAGGTGTGAATTATAACAATTCTCATTATAAAATTCTTTTTCACATCCATCACACAATTTTGAAAAGTTATCTAAGGGAATACAAGGAAATCTAGGTCCAATTCTATAACAATTCAAACATCTTGATTGGCAATTTGCTGAGTGATTTTGGCGTCTATTATAAACACTTTCACATGATAAACAATACGACTGTTTAAATAAATCTGAAGCCCTGCGAACTCCGTCAAAGTGGTCATTATTATAATAAATAAGTATAGGAGTCTCAAAATCATCCTGACCATATTTAAATAAGGGTTTATATTGACCATATTCTCCAAATATGTAAACTTTAAACCCACCAGAATACTTATAATTCCAAAAGTCGACCACTCGTGGAACCCATTCAGTAGCATCATACTTGGAAAGTCCTTGTGGTGCTCCAATTTTTTCCATTAGAAAATCTGTATCATATTGAAATTGATCTTTCATCCCTCTTCTACTATGCATATAATTATAGAATTTCCATTTCGGCCATGAACTTGTGGAATGAATAAAGGAAGAAACAAGGGCGTAGAATAGGCAATGTGTATCGGAATTTCGAATTTTAATTAAATTTTTATCGTTGACTATATGACGAACTGGTGCCAGCTTTCTACCACTACCAGAAAGACGACGACTTAGACCATCTTTTTTTACAGCTGATACTGTAACTGTGAATGGTTCACCATATAACGTCGTGTTTTCCTGTTTCTTGCTTTGTGAAACTTTCAAAAATTGATTTAAAATGGAATTAAGCGTGTTGCTTGAAATTTGGCGTACTGGGACCCATATATCAGTTTCAAGAACCTGACTACTGATTGTGCAACCTAAGTGATCAGGTTCGATTTGTTGCTGACGACCTTCTTCAATTGCTTGATCTATACACGATTGAAAAATTTCAGCTAAAAATAACTCAGGATCGGATGGTAAGTTAGTGATAAGAAATTTTGATTGTACTTTAGTAAAATTAAATTTTTTTGTAACTTTAATTTGCTCATCCAGCTTTTTTACATAATCTTCGCCTTCGTGGAGTCCAAGTATATTTTTTATTGTAAAAGGTTTAAAACGTTTTGGAGGTGATGGCTCCATTTTAAAAGAATAAAATAAAAATTGAAAAAAATTTCTGCTTATAAATCGATTTTAAACCTGTAACTTTATGTTATACTTTTTCCAAACAAATTTATCTTTAATTTATTTTTTCCAATAATAAAATCCAACCTAAAATCCTATACATTTAATTTATCTTTGTTAAATTTGCATATTTCTACCTATTATTAATTTATTTTATATCTATTCCAGGACGTGACACGCCTTTTAAAAGTTATTTCGTAATAATTCCACACTATTTTCTTTCCATCCTTCCTCTAACATTTTTCCATCTAATATCATAAATTTGCATAAACCTTGCATAGACATGCCACGCCCAAATTTTATTTATATATTTTTCCGAGATTGAATAAATGAAGAGGGAAATGAAGAGGAATAAAATTTAAATATTATAGAGGTAAAATAAATTTTGAAAGGGTCTAAACCAAGTCATTTTTCTATAAATACTTGTCAACACACGTGACACGTTTTTTTGGAATATTTCGCAATAATTCTTTTTGAGTTGTCCTTTGAGTGTTATTCTTGTCTAGCATACCATTATTGATTTTTCAAGCATGGATGAGGAAAATGCTATTATGAATATTATAGAGGGAACGGGTAATATCAAAAAAAATGTGAGATTTAAAAATCTCTTTACAGCTTTGGAATATTATTTTGGAGTGGATAAATGGTGTGAAGATTGTCTAGAATTTTTATTTTCTGGTGCAGGGGGAGAAAATCTAATAGTAATCGATGAAGAACGTTTTCAATTTTGTCTATACATGTGTTCGGATTGTTTAAAATTGACTAATTATAAGAATTATAAATTTAAACATACTATCATTTAATCATTTTATTTACTATATTTTTTACAAATAAATCTGGATTATCAATATTATTTAGCATTTTAAGGTATATAGGAAATGTATAATTTTTAGAAATAAAATAAATGAGGGAAATACAATGATAAGCACAATAATTTGAATTTGGGGATTGGTATGATTTTAAATTTTTTATAACAATTGAAAAATTTTTTAAAAATGAATCGATAATACATAAACTAATAGGTAGATTTAAACTGTCAAAATAAATTATTTCATCCATCTTTTGAATATAAAGTACAATCCAATGTGATCCTTCAAATCCTTGCGGGTCCAAGTTTACAATTAATGCTTTACCTGGTATAGGGTCTGGTAAATTGTTACACGGGAAGCATCCTTGGAATATCTTGCTCGTTTGTGGATTTGAGCTCAATATTTTTGTTATCTGATTGCTGAACATTATTTTTAGGTAAATTTGTTTTTAGCCAAAAAATTGATCGTAATTGATAAATAATTAAGCTTGCTATGAGCATAATATATAGGCAAATCAGACCCCAGCAAAAGACATGGCCGTATAAGTCCGTAGGGCTTTCTTTACAGAGAGTAGGTAGATTCTCAAAAGGAAAAGTTGCAAAGGCTGGTGAAGAAGCGGATATTCTTGGGTGGGTTGAATTTTTCTTAGGGTATCCCATTTTATCTAAATACTCCGCATACTCAGGAATCTCTTGTAATTTTTCCATAGCATCTTTAGTTAGTCCAACGCATGGAGAAAATAAACGAATCAGAAAAATTAATAGTAAAATTTTACTCATTTTCTTAAATGGTAATATCGCTTGCTATTGTGCGGTTTTTATCTAGCATTATAAGGGAATCCGCCTCCCCCATAACAATAAGCATAACCCCACCTTCAGGGATAGGATGACTGAATTTGATGTTTATGGCAGTAGTACCATTTTTTATGAGGTCAAATGTCCCACTATTATCTTCCCCGCTATTAGTTAAATTAAATACGTAAATACAGTGTGTTCTACCATACTGCTGGTATGTTATTCCATTATTTTCCGAAGAGTTTGCCAAGCCGGTAGATTCGTTCATATCATGAAATGCTCTTACATACCTCCCATTTTTGTAATCAAAGTCATATGATGCCTGAGGGTATGGTCTTCCATTAGCTATAATGCTAATTTCTCTAACATCAAAATGTTGGAAGTTAAAAGGACTGCGTGTTTGTGTTCCAACATAATCGGAATTTGATACTAACCCTAGAGTAATTCTTCGCGGGATCTGATCCATAAATATATTTGCATTAAATTCATACCGACCTGGACTTATGAAAAGGGGTTTCATCATTGTTTTACGTATAGCATATCGTGCCGGTTTAGTTTCAAGTTTTCTGGCAATGTCTAGTGCAAGACCGTCCATCAAATCAATCTTTTTGACATATAATTTGCAACTTATAACCTCAAAATGATAATTTACGGTAGCATCTGTATTATTTGTTTTTGGGGCAATTAATACGAATCTTGTATCATTAGGTAAGATTTCGAGATCAATTTCACAGTGGTTGATTAAATATAATGGTTGGTTAAATAAATCCGCATCAATTTTAGAAATAAATTGAGCGGTCTTACTAGCTGAAAATAATTTTTTTCTTGAATTAAAAGCATTACCACCCTCAAGATTTGCATCGGAATCATAATAGTAGCCCGAAGCATTTAAGTGTGAATTCTTCGCCCCTGTTGAATAAGATAACTCATGTGAGAAATATGATTTATAAGCATAAAGTGAATTTGAATTAAATATTTCTCTACCGTTAATACTAATACGCATATTATTTATAAAAGTTTGTCCTATAAGCTGTATTGGCGCAACATTGTCTGCTGCATCTATTTTTACTAATTTTCCATCGGCATCTTCTTTTTTTATTTGAAATTCTGTAAATAGATAGATTTTTGAAAGATCAATGTAATTCTGGCTGCTATGAATTTTAAAATGGTAGGGGGTATCAGTGAGAGGATTGCTAGGTAAAATTTCAAAAACTTTCGAAGAGGAAATACTTACATTTGTTGGTGGGACTTGAAAAAAATCAAGTGCATTTGTAATAGAATTTATACTATCACGATCTATTTTGTGAAATGTCATTTTTAATACAGTCCAAATGCGTCAGTTCTCTGTCTCTTTTTTTTAATAATTCTTTGGGTTTCTGGTATTTTCTTCCTTTTTATACTCCTTCCTGATCCAAACTGTTTGGGTAGACCTCCTTTTTCCAAAACAGTATCAATACCTTTTTTTCCTTCACTGACAAGAGCCTCTTTTATTGGTTCCCCTTGGATAACCCTTCCCAGTGCACGTTGACCTGTGTTTAATGCCTCTTCTGAAACAGTTGTGCCTACTCTACGCATAACGGGTAAAAGAAATCTCCAGAGTCCTCTCATAACATCTCCAATACCTGCTCCTTTTTGACCATATCCTCTCTGAAAAGGATGTGATCCTTTGAAATATTCTTCTGTAATTCCTCCTCCGCTCATTGGAATAAAATCATCATATCCAACTGTACTAGTGTCAAATATTATATGAACCATTTTGTTTATGAATGAAATTCAGAAGTTTATTATCTTCTTAAATATAAGGACCAGGAGTACCGTTCCAAACTCAAATGGTACTGGTCGACCACTATCCATTGTTCTAATTTCAATCTCAATTTCATTTACTTCTTTTGGCAAAACTCGTGCATAAATGGGTGAATCGTATATTTTTTCATAATATTCCCCGGGAGTAGCTCCAGCTACAGAAACAACTCTCAGTAGTGAACTGAGTGAATTGCCTATAATCATATTTTCAGTAAGACCTTTGGAGTATACTGCAAAGCTAGAGAAACCTCCTCGTAGATCACATCCGTATTTGGCAATTTCATTGTTTTGAACCATATTGGGATTTTGAAAACCTAAGACATAGCCTAATTGATTGGAAAAGGAAAGATATTTTATGCTTGGATGGGTGAATGTGACTTTAAATCGTTCAAAGTCACTATGATACAATAATTCTATTGAATCTATAATTTGTTTTTGTGTTGCTGAGTCTATTTTGTGTACTTTTCCATATTTTTTTACAAGGAGAGGCATATTTGGTAGGTAATTTATCCTTGCTTGAGGGGTTACTTTTTGCCCGAGATTAGCAAGTACATAGGTAAGTACTCGCTCATATTCTTCAGTCCATAATGGATCGCTAAAACTTGCTTGAGGTTTTGGAAGTTGTGGTAGTGTAGGTGAACTAGGCAAGGATTGATTTCCATCTGACGATGAAGGAGATGGGGTTTTTAACTCTTCCTCTTTATTTTGTGTCGATGATAGAGAGGTTGGTAAAGGTATTGTTGGAGGTTTCGGAATTTGAGGAGATGGTTTTGGTGGCGGAGGTGGTTGTGGTGAAGGCTTTGGAGGTTGTATTGCAGGTTTTGGGGGTTGTGGAGTTGGTTTTGGAGGTTGTGGTGTAGGTTTTGTGGGTTGGGGTGTAGGTTTTGGAGGTTGTGGCGGAGGTTGTGGTGTAGGTTTTGTGGGTTGGGGTGTAGGTTTTGGAGGTTGTGGCGGAGGTTGTGGTGTTGGTTTTGGGGGTTGGGGTGTAGGTTTTGGAGGTTGTGGCGGAGGTTGTGGTGTTGGTTTTGGGGGTTGGGGTGTAGGTTTTGGAGGTTGTGGCGGAGGTTGTGGTGTTGGTTTTGGGGGTTGGGGTGTAGGTTTTGGAGGTTGTGGCGGAGGTTGTGGTGTTGGTTTTGGGGGTTGGGATGTAGGTTCTGGAGGTTGTGGCGGAGGTTGTGGAGTTGGTTTTGGTGGTTGAAGAGTGGGTTGAGGTGTTATAGGCTTTGGAGGTTGAGGAGTTGGTTCTGGTGGTTGAGGAGTGGGTTTTGGAGGTTGAGGTGTTGTAGGCTTTGGAGGTTGAGGAGTTGGTTCTGGTGGTTGAGGAGTGGGTTTTGGTGGTTGAGGAGAGGGTTTCGAAGGTTGAGGTGTTGCAGGTCTTGGAGGTTGTGGAGCGGGTTTTGGTGGTTGAGGAGAGGGTTTCGAGGGTTGAGGTGTTGCAGGTTTTGGAGGTTCAGGTGAGGGTCTTGGAGTTTCTGGAATAGGTTTTGGAAGTTGTGGTGTAGGTTTTGGAGTTTCTGGAATAGGTTTTGAGGGTTCTAATGAGGGCTTTGGAGGCTGTGGTGTAGGTTTTGGAGGTTGAGGGGTCGGGATTATTTTGGTAAGTTTAGGGGATGAAGTACGAGGCGGAGACTTTAGTTCCCTCTCTGCAGATGATGAAGGGGAAGGTGTTCTATCTCTTTCAACAGAAAGTCTTTTATTAGAGGGTTCTTCTTCGGCTGATGATGAAGGAGATGGTGTTCTAAGTTCTCCTTCAGGGGATACACTACGTTTTGGTCTGCGAACACTTGGAGGTTTTACTAGAGTCTCGTGTTTTTCCAAAGGTGATCCTTCCATAGCTCCTATTTGATGTTGTAAGGTAGATAACAAGAACTGGTGTAAATCCTCCACAGTGGTATGCGAACCTTTGGGAACTGGTACACGAATAACACTTGCCCTTCCATCATTTTTAGTAAAATGAATGTCAATCCATTGTTCGTCAAGCGTACCTATTGTCGAAGGCCATGAATATGGGTAACTTATACTATGCAAACCACATACCCAGTCTCCAGAAAAATATAGTGGTCTTGGTAAATGTACTCGGAATTTATTTGGTTTATTATCTGGGTAATCGGAAACATTACTAGGAAGAAAAACAAAAAATGTATTTGACATCTTTATCAAAATGAAAAATAAATAAATAAATTGGCTTTTATACAAGTTGGGTCTCATGGATCCATTCTCTTTCAGGGTAACCTATAAACTTTACTAATAAATCGAATGTGCCATCTGGTCTTTTCCTTTTTCTTATAACTTTCTCTATCCTATACTCTGTATCAGCATCCTTCTTAACACGAGCCAATTCTTCCTTATAAAATGATCCTTTGAATCTTTCGCCCTTATCGTCTTGTACTTTGTAACGGATTGGTTGAACGTGGTTTTTAACATTTTCTATTTGTAAAATTTCATCACCCCAGTTTGGGATATAACCCTTCTCGAATAATCCTTTTCCTACACTCATACGGACATAATCTCCTTTCTTTAGTTTGGATTTTATTTTCTTTTTGGAATAATCGTTACCATAGATCCGCTCCCACACCTCTTGTGCATTGTCAAAAGTCACATCTATAGGTCTCATTCCGTGAATCCTACTCTTAGACTTATTTATTCCTTCTATAATTTTAGGTAAAACCTGAATCCAGTTGAGTATTTTGTTTTGGGCAAAATAGCGATATATACGCTGTTTAATATTACGTATAGCCCTTTCTGCTAATGATGCTTTCACAATAGAATGTACTGGTTCAGTTTTGTGTATTTCTTCTTTTTCAAAATATTCTGCCATTTGTTTGTTTTTAAATTCTGTGCCTTTATCTGAAAAAATTCTATGAGGTTTCATAGGCATTTGTTCAAATAATTGTTTAAATGCTTGTATCATTTCTTCAGTTCTCTTGGATTTGACTGGAGTACCGAATACTCTTTTCGATAAGACATCAATTCCCAAAAGTAAATACCTATTTCCCTGATTGTGTCTTGAGATTGCTTGAAAATCTGCAAGATCAACCTGCACATCTGTCATAAAACCAGCTGGTATTGTCTTTGCTCTTTTAAAATGAATCCGTCTGGGGCGCATCAATGTATAGGTCCTATGTCCTTCTAAATAATCTTGTACTACGTTTTTAGGTATGTGCTTGATTACTTTTCTAGCCTCCTTCCAAAGTCTATCAACACCTGAAAAAGCCGCTGGGGACTCTGGATTATTGTATAAATCATGTAAAAGTTTTGTATAATCTGCCATTATTTATTTCCACAAAGTTGGTTTGAATCTATTTATAGGTTTAGATTTTCTTTTATTAATATCTCTAGCTAATGGTTTTCTTGGTGCCCATCTAGAAGAAGGAGATTTTGTTGGTACAAAGTGCTTCTTTTCTTCTGGGCTTATTTCTTGTTTGGGGGTTGATGTAGATGGTTTAATTTCCTGAGTAAATGTAGGGGTTTTAATTATCGATGAAAGGTTATCATCTATAAACATGTCAGAATCATCATTTTCCCTAGCTAGACTGGTAGTAGGTCTGGCTGTAATACCTTTTGAACTTGTTACCATCTCTACCTTGACTGGTCTATTTTGTTTCTCATGTCGCATTTTTAAATACCTTCGCAATTCTTGATTATAATTAACGTTTTTTGCATTAGGAGTCTGTTTTTTTCGTTTTACCTTCTCAAGATCCCTACGTACAAAATCTAAATTAGGTTCACCACTGTCATGTGTTGTAAGCCCTTTGTATAAATCCTCAGGGACTAAAATAAATTTATTTGCCATTTTTAAATAGTTTGATTCGTGGAATTATCGTTTTTATATATACTCTTTGCAATTTCCAGTAGTACAGGAGTTAAAAGTGCTGCGAAAACACCTACACCTCCACCCTTCTGATTAAGAACATGACGCGCACCTCTTTCGCTCCTTACTCGACTCAAATGACGTACAAACTCTGTATAAGGTATCAGCCGTTTCTTTTGTCGATTTGTAAGTTTAAATCTTTCTTTTACTATATTTAAACAAATCTCAGTTAATGCTAAAAGCTGGGATGTTGTTGCTAATCTTAACAATCTTCTTTGTTTTCTACCTGACTTTGTTCGGGCTAATATTTTCAAAAAATCCACATTATCTTGTAAAAGTTGATTAACCATTATTTCCGTTTTTTGGTATAAAAAATATTTTTTCGTCGTCTTTAAATATGTTTGTCCTAAGTCTTAATAATGGATCTGACGAAGCGTGCATATCAATGAGTAAGTAGCCATAGGGTTGCTTGGTTGCTTGTTGATATGAATCAAGAAAATAGTCTAACTGTCGCGGGAATAATTGTACACCTATATTTCTTACAGAGAGCATCGAGTTAGGGGAACGCATTATTGTAAGATATTGAGAATTTTGCCTAGCCACTTTGATCTTTCGTTCAAATAAATTTTGTGTAATAAAAATGATTGAGAAATTTTGATGATGGGCTTTTTTAGTGAATAATTCTGACAGATATTTTTCATTTATACTAAGTAATAAATCATCAAGAATAAGCAAAAGCGGTTTTGGAAAATTTTTTATCTGTTCTTCATTTGGTATTCCTGATATAACATTAACTCCTGCTTTCTGTAAAAGGGGAATAATACTATTCATTTCCCCAAAACAATAAACTATTGATTTTGGACTAGGGTGAATTAATTCTTTGGATTCTGTTATAAATTTCAATAAAAAGGTTGTTTTACCGCTGGAACTAGGACCAGATATTATCATACCAAAAGGTAATTTAAATTTTATATCTTTATCTGTAAATGATAATGAGTCCATAATACTGTTATAAAATAATTTTATCGAATGTGTGAATATATCGATTATATATCATTTAGGTTGGGATCCCTGTAACTGATGCTTCTAAACTTTGGAAAAACTCTTCAATGTTCTCTTGTGAGGGATGGGAATCAAGAGGTTGTGATGAAGGTTCAATTATCTCCTGTTTGGGAATTTTAAGAGTAATTGATTGTGGAGTAGCTTCTGTAGATGTAGTAATAGTTGTAGAATCTGAATTTAAAATATTATTTTTTATTATTGATGTTTGGCTACTTATTTCTAGGGGTTGACCTTTAAGCTGTGTTTCAGAGGTTAGCTGAGGTGGGCATTTTAATTCCTTTTTTACAGAAGGTTTAGACGTTGAATTATATGGGATATTGAATACTCTACCTTTATTTTTAATTTTGAAAAAACAGTGTCCTGGTAAATCGAAAAATGAATCAAAGGGGACGAAACGGCTTCCATTGAAACGGGTACAATATACTATTACACCCTCTTTTGTTATCACGAAATCTAATTCTACTTCAGTACTCTTACACTCATGACATTTTCCTGTTATATCAAAGGGTATGAATCGAGGCGTCGAAAGCCTAGGACTAGAAACAATGATTCCGGTTAGGTTAATGTTAATTTCAACTTCGGGAAAAATTTTGGGATATTTCATTTTTGAATTATGAAATGTGAAATTTCATTCTTTATATACCCTTACTCCCTCTCATTAAAATTATACAAAAATATACTGTACAATTTTTAAAGGTATATGGTCCTATACCTTTAGAATCAAAAAGAGAATGGACCAAAAGCCGAGTGACGAAAAATAAACGATTACTAAGGGGGAGTTTGAGTCTGGTATGTGTGACTACTTGGGTGTTTGTTGACTACTGGGGGGTTTCCATTACTACTGACAAGCTTTTAAAATTTATAAAAAAGGTCTACTTCGGGGAAGTTATGATTTTTTGAAAATTTGGTCGATTTTTTCGGCCAAAATTTTCGTCCAAAAAAATAATTTTACAAAAATGGGTAGAAATGGGGCAAATTATATATCAAACGAGAGCTCTTATCGAGGGGAATTTAAAAATATTTTTTCCAAAATTTTCTGACCCTTTTGGCCAAAGTTATGATCGGTCAAAAGTTTGAGTCTGGGGTGGTCCCATAACTTGGTCAGACTCAAGTGACCCCGTTAAAATTTTATATTTTTTAGATGGATTTCAGGATGCTCTACAATATAACGTAAGTCTTTTTAATTTATTCCCCCTACTTAGGTACCCCACCAGCTAAATTACCCCACAGACTCAAAAATTATAAAACTTCATAACTTTCCCAGACTCAAGCGTACCCCCAACAAAGTATATATTTTTCGGAGCCCCAGGTGATGCTCTACAATCTTACCGGACGATATTTGATTTATTACCCCTCCTTTGGTACCCCACCGGCAAAAGTACCCCTCCAGACTCAAACATTTAACTGACTATAACTTTTGCCAAAATGGTCAGAAAATTTTTAAAAAAATATTTTTATACTCAGGGCGATAAGGGCTTTCGATTGATATATCATTTGGCCCATCTATACACATTTTTAAAATTTTATTTTTTTAGGCCGAAAATTTCGGCCGGAAAAATCACCCAAATTTAAAAAAAATCATAACTCTTCCAAAGTTAACCTTTTTTGAAAATTTTAAAGGCTTATTCTATGAAGAAAAATGAGCTCTATTCAGGAAAAATACATTCGGTGCGAACCGCCGGCAAAATACCCGAAATTTTTTCGAAAAACCGAAAATTTTTGGGGTTTTCGAAATTTGACCCCCTCGGTCTCAATTTCGAATTTTTTCGAAATTTTTTCGCCTCTAAAAATACTTAATTTTTTGCTTGATTTTATAAAGTAAACCCCATCCGAATAACGTTATCCCGAAAAAAGTTATGGTCCCCTAAAAATTCCCGAATTTTCCCCAAAAGGGGTACCCTATGGAAATAGGGGGTGGGACAAAATTTTGGAATTTTGACCCCAAAAACACCCTATATGGTACTCTGACACCCGTTGAGTACGAATCCGGCGTAAGAATAATTTTAAAAAATTTTCCCGGGACGTTAGAGTCTCATAAATTTTCGCGACATTTGAGAACATCGCCTATAACTTTTTGAGACTCAAGTGGACCCCAACATATTATACCTTTTTCTGACCGCCTGGGGACGCTCTTTCGAATGAGCTATCGAAAACGAATTTCAATTCACTTTTGCAAAAATCGACTCGAGTCGAAGTCACTCAAGGACTCATAACTCCCCAAGACTCAATCCCAGACTCAAGCGTCCCTTAACATAAATGTCCTAAACACCCTCCCCTACAAATAACCCAACACCCCCAAAGTCATTCCCTAGCAAAGAATTTTCAGATATAATCATTTTCCCGCCTCAGACTCAAATATCCCACCCCCAGACTCAATTGACCCCCACCAAACAAACATCATAAAACGCGCATTAATTTACTCTATAATACCCCCCAGGTCCCATCCCGCTACGACCCTCCAAAAAAAAGTTACACTCAAAAAACCATTTGAGTACGGATCGGATATTTTGAGTCTAACGGGTTCTTCGAACTGGCCGTTTCGGTGCCACACTTGAGTGCGGCACCAAAATGGCCTGTACCATTAAACTCCCCATGGTCGCTTACCTACTAGCCCCAGTACTTATCCAAATCGGCCTAGCCGTAACCGAGTTATTCGACGAAATCGATGCGAACACGCCGAAAACCAGCAGCCGCGATATGGTTGCCGACAGCTAAAACTTAGGCAATAATTTATATTCATAAAGGGGACAAAAAAAATTTTTTTTTGTTTTCAACTGAAATTATTTTTACGGTGATTTTCGCTGATAGGCGAACTTATTACACCGTATATTAGCCTTACGGCTCTATTTGTGATGTGAATTTTTGAAATTTTGTGTTGACTAAGCGTCCTCGTTGAAGGATGTGAAAACTTGCGTTTCATTATTGAAACGGCAAGATTAGTAATCGGTCGGCTTAACGGTCGGCTTGGTGATCCTGCCAGAACTGGTGTATTCATTTCAAAGTTAAGCCATGCATGTATATTAATCGTTTTAACGAGAAACCGCGAACGGCTCATTACAATGACCATGATTTACTTGATTTTGATTATCTAAATGGATAAATTTTGCTCTTTCAAGTGTTCACTTTATCAACTTGACGGGTGTATAATCGACTCCCGTGGTGGTGACGGATAACGGAGGATAGGGTTCACCTCCGGAGAAGTGGCTTGAAATTGTCTCACCGAGGAGGTAGTGACAAGAAATGAAGTGATCGGTCTCTTTGAGGCCGGTCATCGGATACAAGTTAAAACCTTTAACGAGTATCAAGCAGAGGGCAAGTCTGGTGCCAGCAGCCGCGGTAATTCCAGCTCTGCTAATACATCAGTGTTCCCGGACCGAAAGTCTTCGGTTCCGGGGGAAGTTGGTTCCAAAGCTGAAACTTAAAGAAATTGACGGAAGGGCACCACCAGGAGTGGAGCTTGAGGCTTTATTTGACTTAACACGGGGAAACTCACCCGGACCGGACACTGTGAGGATTGACAGATTGATAGCTTTTTCATGATTCAGTGAATCGTGGTGCTTTAAAGAGCAATAATAATAAAGGGCAAAACAGGTCTGTGATACCCTTAGAGGTCCGGTGCAATATTCTGCCCCTAAAGGGCGGGTGAGCAATTGCTAATTTACCGTGATTGGGATTATAAATTGCAATTATTTTCCGTGAACGAGGAATTCCAAGTAAATGCGAGTTATCATCTCGCATTGAATACGTCCCTGCCCTTTGTACACACCGCCCGTCGCTGCCCGGGACTGAGCCATTTCGAGAAAATTGGTGACCGTTGATTAATTTCTTTATTACATCGATGGAAACCAATGTTATCGCAGTGGCTTGAACCGGACAAAACTCGTAACAATGTAGCTGTAGGTGAACCTACTGCTGGATCATTACTTTATGTGATGTTCAAATTTGAATCGCAACTTATGTTGTGTAACGGCTGTCACTGGTGTCTATGTGTTGCTGATTCAGTCGTTTACGTCCGTGGCTGAATGTGAGGTGACATGTTAGGACTCTTTTGAGTTTAAGACTTAATGAGCCTCTTAAGTGAGGACGCCAGCACTTTTTTTACTTTTATTCGGACCCGAAAGATGGATAACAAGGCGATCAGTGCCCACTGCAGAAGCCTTTCAGATTCTAATCGTAAAGAGGCGGATCCTTTTCAAACAAGAAAAAGCCTCTATTGACAGTTGATCGAGAGAGTTAAGGTAGGACTACAGGGCTGATTGTATGTACAGGATATGATCAGTTGTGATTATTTGTAGCCAGCACCTACAAGTATTCACATTCCTGTTAGTCAATGAATGGTGCCTGTCTGTCAATAGAGAGCTAAGTGAAATAAATGGTGGATGGTGGTGCATGGAGGATTTTTTATTGAGTGAGCTATGGTTCAACGACCATATAACGGTGAACAGCTTGAATATTTGTTATGGAAATATTCAGGTTTGGATACTAGCAATGGCGTCTGCTTTATCCATTGTTCATTGTTTATAATTGAATGCATAAAACACCATAGCTTGCTCTTTAAAATACGATTAGAATTGAATAAAACGGCTTGGGATACCGTTAAAAGTGCTGCATTGATCGCTGTCTGCAGACCAAGACTGGCCTCAAAGTAAACACAGACAAAGCAAGGCATTGGAGCTTTGATGCCGTTCAGGATTGTCGGCACTGGCGTTCTCATTGCGCGAACCTCCTCCCGAAATGCCTGCGGATATCAATTGTTTCTGGCTGTGTTTAACTTTGATGGCCGTCTTGGTTATCCGTCTCAACTTGTAAAGAATTGGCTCTAGAAGTAGCTGTAGGTGAACCTACTGCTGGATCATTACTTTATGTGATGTTCAAACTTGAATCGCAACAAAATGTTGTGTAACCAAGGCTGGGTTACCCCGGCTATCTGGAAAATTTTATCCGGTGAATTCGCTAATAGGCGAAAAACTAACACAGGATAGTTGCCTTTCGGCTGTATTTGTGAAGTGAATAGTTGAGATTTAGTGTAGGGACTAAGCGTCCTCGTAAACACGGTCCAACACGGAGCAACTCACTCGGCACGGACATTGAAATATTATTGATGTAATGGGTGGGTTCGCCATTGAGTGTTGCCGTGGTTGGAATCGAGTAGGTGCGAGTCATCAGCTCGTATTGATTACGTCCCTGTAATATAGCTGTAGGATCATTGCTCTGTCATGATCTTACTGCTGGATCATTGCTCTGTGTATGATCCAACTTGAATGCGCAACTTTTGTTGTGTAACGGCTGTCTCCGGTGTCCAACAGCTGTAACCCATTTATCGAAAGATGGTGATTATCGAATACTGTAACAAACAATGTAGCTTTAGGTAATCCTACTGCTGGATCATTACTTTATGTAATGATCAAATTTGAATCGCAACTTTTGTTGTGCAACGGCTGTCTCTGGTGTCTAGGTGTTGCTGATTCAGTCGTTAACGTCCGTGGCTGAATGTGAGGTGACATGTTAGGACTCTTTTGAGTTTAAGACTTAATGAGCCTCTTAAGTGAGGACGCCAGCCCTTTTTTAACTTTTTTTTGTTTCGAAAGATGGTGAGAATATCACACTTGAGCTGGGTTTAGACCGTCGTGACCAATATGACAAAAGGCAGATAGTTAAGTTGTGCTAGAACTAATCTATCTGAGGGCAGCCTGTACCTGCCTCCTTGCGTCATATTATTAAAACACCCAGTTGAAGTGGATGGTGTGGTGCATGGGTTCAAAAAATAACTCAGCATTCATCGGAAGGCAAATAATCTATTCACGCCAGAGTATTTTATTTGCGGGCAGCCATAACCTGCTTCCTTCCGTTTGGATGTCTGAGTTTTTCGCCACTCAGCGTTCAATGGAAGGCAACTAATCTACTCACGCCAGAGTATTTTATTTGCGGGCAGCCATAACCTGCTTCCTTTCGGTTGGATGTCTGAGAGTCTCGGCAATAGGCTATGGCGATTTGCCGGTGAAGCCCTAATGGGTGGAGGTAGGCACGCAAGTTCTCATTGATCTACCGCAAACGTCCACGTCGTGCGTGCTGGGAAATCCGGTAATGTGCACAATAAATGTGCTCACTGGATTTGCTAACTCCGGCTTGTCTGGAGGCGCGGTTAAAAATGAGCCGAACTCGGGCCGAAGGCCCGAGTGATTTGTTCGGGCTACGGCCCTAGAGACTCCCTGGTGTTCAGCCTTGGAGTGCTCAGCTCGGTGTTTTTTTTTTCTCAACTCGAGCTGAGTTTTTTCCTCCTCGTCCCCGGACCTGGAGTATAGCTCGGGCCGAAGGCCCGAGTTGAGTTTGGTCGGGCTTCGGCCCTAGAGACTCCTTGGCTTTCAGCCTTGGAGTGCTCAGCTCGGGCTTCGGCTCGAGCTGAGTTTTTTCCTCCTCGTCCCCGGACTTGGAGTATAGCTCGGGCCGAAGGCCCGAGTTGAGTTTGGTCGGGCTTCGGCCCTAGAGACTCCTTGGCTTTCAGCCTTGGAGTGCTCAGATCGGGCTTCGGCTCGAGCTGAGTTTTTCCTCCTCGTCCCCGAACTTGGAGTATAGCTCGGGCCGAAGGCCCGAGTTGAGTTTGGTCGGGCTTCGGCCCTAGAGACTCCTTGGCTTTCAGCCTTGGAGTTCTCAGCTCTGGCTTCGGCCTCAGCTTTGCTTTGAGTTTGATGCCCGAAAGATGGTGAGAATAGGGAACGTAAGCTGGGTTTAGACCGCCGTGAGAAAATTATCGAATAATGATGATAGACTTATTTGATCATGTATGATATATATTTGATCTGAGTTCGATAATATATTTGGGGCTTCGGCCCTCAAATATCGGATAGTGATGATTGGCTTGTATTGAATCATTTATGATATATATTTAAGCTGAATCCGATAAAAATTTTTTTCAATTTTTGCCTGTGAAGCCCTAATGGGTGGAGGTAGGGACGCGAGTTCTCATTGATCTTCCGCGGACGTCCACGTCGTGCGTGCTGGGAAATCCGGATTGCTTAAATGTGCTCACTGGATTTGCTAACATGCGGTTAAAAATGAGACCCTAGCTCGGGCTTCGGCTCGAGCTTTGCTAAAGGGCTTCGGCCTTCATTACTCCATGGTGTTTTGCCTTGGAGTCTCAGCTCGGGCTTCGGCTCGAGCTGAGTTTTTTCCTCCTTGTCCCCGGACTTGGAGTACAGCTCGGGCCGAAGGCCCGAGTTAAGTTGTTCGGGCAGAAGAGTTTTTTCCTCCTTGTCCCCGGACTTGGAGTATAGCTCGGGCCAAAGGCCCGAGTCTCCCCCAAACAAACTCCTCGGTGTTCAACAGTTGGTCATGGAGGAGTTTCGGCTCGAGCTTCGGCTCCTCGGTGTTCAACAGTTGGTCATGGGGGATCGTTCCTTTAATTTTTGTAAGCTTTTGCAGGCGGCGGACTGGCTGTAGATAAAAGTTGCGCGAGAGGTGAAACTCGTGAACCGTGGCTATTTACAGTTGGTCATGGGCCACGGCCTGACAAAAAATATTAAATAAAATTAATGCCTACAAGACAAGAAAAAAAGCGTAAAATAAATCGCGATCGCTATTCGGCGAACGCTAACCCAAACAGCTCTCTTCAGAGCTCTGACCAGTCTGTCCAACCAGAGCAGACTGTTCCGAATATCGATCTGGGAACCCAAAACTGTCCTCTTCAGGACAATGATCAGTCTGTGCAGCAGGAGCAGTCTGAGCATTATACACATCCGCACATCCAAAATAATTCGATGGATGTTGAACAAATAATGGACAACGAATTAAGCCCTGGGAACCCAAGTTCCGTTTGGATGTCTGAGTTTTTCGCCACTCAGCGTTCAATGGAAGGCAACTAATCTACTCACGCCAGAGTATTTTATTTGCGGGCAGCCATAACCTGCTTCCTTTCGGTTGGATGTCTGAGAGTCTCGGCAATAGGCTATGGCGATTTGCCGGTGAAGCCCTAATGGGTGGAGGTAGGCACGCAAGTTCTCATTGATCTACCGCAAACGTCCACGTCGTGCGTGCTGGGAAATCCGGTAATGTGCACAATAAATGTGCTCACTGGATTTGCTAACTCCGGCTTGTCTGGAGGCGCGGTTAAAAATGAGCCGAACTCGGGCCGAAGGCCCGAGTGATTTGTTCGGGCTACGGCCCTAGAGACTCCCTGGTGTTCAGCCTTGGAGTGCTCAGCTCGGTGTTTTTTTTTTCTCAACTCGAGCTGAGTTTTTTCCTCCTCGTCCCCGGACCTGGAGTATAGCTCGGGCCGAAGGCCCGAGTTGAGTTTGGTCGGGCTTCGGCCCTAGAGACTCCTTGGCTTTCAGCCTTGGAGTGCTCAGCTCGGGCTTCGGCTCGAGCTGAGTTTTTTCCTCCTCGTCCCCGGACTTGGAGTATAGCTCGGGCCGAAGGCCCGAGTTGAGTTTGGTCGGGCTTCGGCCCTAGAGACTCCTTGGCTTTCAGCCTTGGAGTGCTCAGATCGGGCTTCGGCTCGAGCTGAGTTTTTCCTCCTCGTCCCCGAACTTGGAGTATAGCTCGGGCCGAAGGCCCGAGTTGAGTTTGGTCGGGCTTCGGCCCTAGAGACTCCTTGGCTTTCAGCCTTGGAGTTCTCAGCTCTGGCTTCGGCCTCAGCTTTGCTTTGAGTTTGATGCCCGAAAGATGGTGAGAATAGGGAACGTAAGCTGGGTTTAGACCGCCGTGAGAAAATTATCGAATAATGATGATAGACTTATTTGATCATGTATGATATATATTTGATCTGAGTTCGATAATATATTTGGGGCTTCGGCCCTCAAATATCGGATAGTGATGATTGGCTTGTATTGAATCATTTATGATATATATTTAAGCTGAATCCGATAAAAATTTTTTTCAATTTTTGCCTGTGAAGCCCTAATGGGTGGAGGTAGGGACGCGAGTTCTCATTGATCTTCCGCGGACGTCCACGTCGTGCGTGCTGGGAAATCCGGATTGCTTAAATGTGCTCACTGGATTTGCTAACATGCGGTTAAAAATGAGACCCTAGCTCGGGCTTCGGCTCGAGCTTTGCTAAAGGGCTTCGGCCTTCATTACTCCATGGTGTTTTGCCTTGGAGTCTCAGCTCGGGCTTCGGCTCGAGCTGAGTTTTTTCCTCCTTGTCCCCGGACTTGGAGTACAGCTCGGGCCGAAGGCCCGAGTTAAGTTGTTCGGGCAGAAGAGTTTTTTCCTCCTTGTCCCCGGACTTGGAGTATAGCTCGGGCCAAAGGCCCGAGTCTCCCCCAAACAAACTCCTCGGTGTTCAACAGTTGGTCATGGAGGAGTTTCGGCTCGAGCTTCGGCTCCTCGGTGTTCAACAGTTGGTCATGGGGGATCGTTCCTTTAATTTTTGTAAGCTTTTGCAGGCGGCGGACTGGCTGTAGATAAAAGTTGCGCGAGAGGTGAAACTCGTGAACCGTGGCTATTTACAGTTGGTCATGGGCCACGGCCTGACAAAAAATATTAAATAAAATTAATGCCTACAAGACAAGAAAAAAAGCGTAAAATAAATCGCGATCGCTATTCGGCGAACGCTAACCCAAACAGCTCTCTTCAGAGCTCTGACCAGTCTGTCCAACCAGAGCAGACTGTTCCGAATATCGATCTGGGAACCCAAAACTGTCCTCTTCAGGACAATGATCAGTCTGTGCAGCAGGAGCAGTCTGAGCATTATACACATCCGCACATCCAAAATAATTCGATGGATGTTGAACAAATAATGGACAACGAATTAAGCCCTGGGAAGCCTTCGAGCTCGGGCAGATTTACATTTAGTGATTATGCTATCTAGCCAAAGTTTCTGGCAAAAAGGTGATTGTAGTAGATCCGCTTGTAACGGATCCACTTCATTTTCAATTAGAGGATATTAATTACGCCAATTATGCCTACCAAACTGGTCCAGACAGAGATGTACAAATTGTACTTCTTCCTGTTCACATGCCAGGACACTGGACCATCATTATCTTTGACAGTAAGTTCGGAACTTATTTTTTCGACTCACTGCCAAACGATCCTCATAGACTATCTGACAATCACCCTGACTATCACCCTGATAGATTGCCTAAACTTATGGATATTCTTTCTCAATTGACCAACAGACGCTCGGATTTAATACATTTGGGAACATATGCCAATGACAAATACACACTTCAACGTGACGGTCATAGTTGCGGATATTTTATCTGCCTATATGCCGAAGCGTGGTTATTTAATAACCGTAATCTTAAATTAAATAATTTTAATATAAACACTGAAAAGAAAAGAATTTTATGGCATTTGAACCAATTGTATTCCGGAGATGATGTTGAGTATCACCCGAGAAACGAACACGACCAAGCTAATATACGCCGATCAAGCCCAATTCATAACTTGCCAACTACAAGTCTTTCAACTCCTAGAATGCAAACGAGAGCTTCTACGCGAGCCTCTTCAACTAATTTAACGCCAGGATTGTCTAATATTGCAATTGCTACTCCGAAAGGAGAACGAGTTTTTCTTCCTATTTCACAACGTTGCCGGGCAAAGCATAAAGGGATTGGCTGTGCCTCCTTTAAGTCAGGTCATCTCCCAGAATATTACAATTCTGGTCAGTTCGGAGATAAAACTTGTGTGCATTGTGATAATAGACTTCTTCGGTCGGAAAAATGTTTATCTTGTACGGATGGTCGAGTTCGACTTGATCCGCTTAAAGCATATCCACATGACTATGCAAGACTTGTAACTGGTGAATCAATGGACTCTAAAGAATACATCAGAGACCAATCGAAATATAACACTTTGTTTGCTTTCGGGTCACTTTCAGTAGGTCGACAAAATGCACCAACTGGTGGACCAATGCCTGTCTTACTGAATGGTGAATTCGCTAGACGGATTGGGAGTTTGACCGCAGCCGATCACCAGATTCCATCTTTTGATCAGTTGTACATACTGGATTCTAACGACGCTACAGAATATCGAATGAATAATACAAGCTTTGATGATTGGAATAAAAAGAATCCTCATTTGTTCCACGTTCTTGATGAATTAATTCGTGCCTATCATCCGATGGCCGAAATTCTTAAAAACTCTTATGAGTTTTACAAGGACATTGCAGAAAATTCACCAGAAAACCTTCAAAACTTTAAGGTTATTTTGGTTGAAGATAAAAATGCGCCTGCTGCAATTCAAGATCCGAATTTACATCCACGCCAAGTTAACTTGCCTACACATGATGAGTCCACTGTTTTTGCGATCTGGTCTTCCAATACTGATGAGCCTCCGCCGCTCAGAGGTATTTGGATTACCAAGAAAGGAAATGTTACAGATTTATGGTCAAATCATCCTATGACTGATTCAATACTCTACCCTTGCATGTTTTTGCTTGGGGACGAGGGTTATTCAACAGAAATACCATATATTAAGATAGCTAAAAAGCCTAATAATGCTAAAGACGACTTTGATACCGACAAATCGGAAACCGGTTCCATTGCTGAAAGCGATTGTGGTTCTGTTGATATTTATGGTGACGAACCCAGCCGTTCTCGCCCCAATCTTTCATTTAGAGCTTTTTATCGTTATCGCTTTGGAATTCGGTACCCGGAAAATGAACATTATCATCATATTTGGAGTACTGGTGGCGGATTGGGACAAAAATTTGCTCTTGATATTGCTGCTAGAATTGATTCGCAAGTATTTGAATACTTACGTCAGCCAGATATGGATTTAAGATGTGAAGTTGTGCCTGAACTTTTAGACTATTTTGCTAAGCATGCTGGCAAATCCTCCGCAGACAAAGTAGGACATGTAGTTCTCTTTAGAAGTTATATGCCTGGCTTCAGGGCATACTTTAAGAAAAATTATAAATCTGCGTGCACGATTATTAATCGTAAACGCAAGCGAGGATGCGCCATGTTTATGTTCACGTTCACTTCGAATCCAAACTGGCCTGAAATGCAAAATGAACTTTACCCCAACGGTCAAGCATTGATTGATCGTCCTGACATTGTCATGCGTTTTTACGCAGATAAAGTTAGAGAGGTACACAAGGACTTGATTGATAGGAAAATATTTGGGAAACAGTTAGGGTATGCAGAAAGTATGGAGTTCCAAAAAAGGGGTGGTCCTCACTTTCATAGAGTGATGGCTACTGATATTCCTGCTATACCGGAGATTATTGAAGGTTACATTCTTGCCCATATTCCGCCACTGCCAGATAAGGATGATAAAAGCCCACGAGCCGAAGGTGAAAGACGCCTTCGAGATCTTGTAATTAAACATCAGCTGCATGATTGCAAGCCTGAGTTTTGCGGGAAAAGAAATAAAAATGGGAAATGCTCTAAGTTTTTCCCTTATGACTATTCGAACAAAACTATACTCTATGACGACCAGCCAGCCGTCCATTATCGACCAAGTCCCGAGGATGGGGGTGAGAAGGTATTGATACCGAAGGGTGGAGTGCTCACTGAGTATACCAATGCTCATGTGACGCCATACAATCCGTTTATCCTACTAAAATATAAAACACACCATAATGTAGCATATTGCTACGGTGAAAAAACAAATATGAAATATACTATGAAGTACCCATTAAAGGGTCCCACCTTTCAATACATCCAAGTCCAAGGTGACATGGTCGATATTGACGAGCCTGCGCATTATGCTCAGATGTACTATCGCTCTGCTAATGAAGCATATGCAAGAATCCATTCAATGCCTTACGTACGACTTTCCAACACAGTTTACGAAATGGAAATACACTTGCCAGGCCATCAAAAGGTGGTTTTTAAGCAAAGTCAAGCTGCAGCAGTTGCTGCTGGACTGCCAAAAAACTTACCTAAAACCATGCTCACAGAGTACTGGTCTCAATGGAGAGAAGGAAAGTCGTGGCAATTCATTAATAAAAAATGGAGACTTGAAGATGATGCTTCAATAACGACTACGTTATACGAACACATGCCAGAAAATTATTGGTTTGATAAGGACGGAAAAATGTGGAAAAAAAGAATTCGAAAAATGGATGTAATAGGACTGATTCATCCTAGACCATCTCCTCGGGATCAAGAGAGGTTTGCTCTCTACATACTTCTCCGCCATTTTCCTGGCGATCCCGAGGCATTAAAGGACGTTAACGGAGTAATGTGCAATTCTTTTGTTGAGTCTGCCAGATTGAGAGGTCTGCTTTCTGACGATTCTGTATGGGAAAGGACTTTGGAGGAGGCCTCGCATTTCAGCACAGCCAGTGCAATGCGATACCTGTTTGTACAGGTTTTGGTCTTTGGAAATCCGAGCAATGCTCGCGAATTATGGGAAAGATTTGTGGATCACATGTTCAAGCCAATAATAGGCAATGATCCAAATGGGATTGAAAGAAACAGACGTATTGATCGGGTATTGGCCATCATAGAAGCACAACTCTCGGACTATGGAATGACAAACCAACAATTTGGACTGGATTCTCCATCCCCCGGGATGCGACAAGACGTAGATGAAGCACTGGATAACTTCTTCTTTGGAGACAAAGATGAAGATGACTTTGCAAGCGGTAACAAGCCCACGATAAAGTTAAATGACGACCAAGAAAATGTTTGGACAGCCGTTCAAAATGCCATCAACGGAACTTCATCCAACACTATCTTTGTGACAGGAGATGGTGGAACAGGAAAGACATATCTATTTAACGCTGTAATTTCACGACTAAGAGACATGCGCATCCGTGTAATTGCTTCGGCTTATACAGGCTGCGCAGCGACACTTTTGACTGGTGGTGCTACCGTTCATTCGGTATTTAGGTTTGGAATAAACATTGATGAAAATTACACCCCATCAGTGTCAATGCAAAGCTATCACGGAAGGCGAATCAGAGACAGCCAAGTTATAATTATAGATGAAGTTTCTATGCTTCCTAAGCATATGTTGGAGGCAATTGATCGGGTCTGCAAACAAATGTGCCCACCAGACAAGAAACATATTCCATTCGGCGGAAAGGTTATGATTCTCAGCGGAGACTTCAAGCAATCACTTCCTGTGGTTACTGGAGGTGGTATGCGAGATCAAGTCAATGCCTGTTTACAGTCTTCATTACAATTGTGGCCGCATTTCAGAAATAATATAATAAAGCTGAACATTAATATGCGTCAGGGACAGAATGAAATTCAATTCACTGATTGGCTGCGAAAAATTGGAAACGGCGAATTAAATAAGGAAGTGGAGATAGAAAGTAGAAATATTGTGGGTTCGCGCCAAGAGTTGATGAATTTTGTCACTGACAACGGCCAAGCTCTTTCGAATCCGAAAGAGCTCATTAACAGACTGATCTTAGCGCCACATAATGACACAGTGGATGTGATTAATGAAGACATGCTGAAAAAGATTACGACCAAGGAAAAGATTTATTTGTCAACGGACGAATCGAACGTTGACGAATCGCCAATGGATATTGATGAATGCGAGAACGATATTGAAGCTTTGAATTTACTAAATCCTGCTTCAATACCACCACACCGGTTACACCTTAAAGAAGGTTGCATTGTAATTCTTTTAAAGAATTTGGCAGTTACTAGAGGGCTTGTCAATGGGACAAGAATGATTGTAAAGGAATTAGGAGATAATATTTTGAAGGTTGAGGTTGTAACCGGTTCTGTGGCTGGATCCGGCAATATTATATGCCTTTCACGTGTATGGTGTGATTATGAAGACAAAGAACCAGATGGAGTTAAGTTCAGACGGTTGCAGTTTCCAGTTCGTCTTGCATACGCAATGACGATCATGAAGGCCCAAGGCCAGACTGCAACACGAGTCGGACTCGACCTTACACATCAAGTGTTTGGTCATGGAAATCTTTATACAGCTCTTTCGAGAGTTCGGACCGCTGATTCTTTCAAAGTCTTTGCACCACACGTCACTGAAAAGGAAAAGACAAAGAATAAAATGATAAAGAATGTTGTCGCCGATGGCTTAGAATTCTTCTAATGCCTTAATGAATTACACACGGACATGCTCACACAACGCTATGACACTGGCCTGGACATTTATGTCCTGAGCCTTCGCCAATTTATGCTTTACAAACGCCTATGGCGTTTAGTTATTCTTCTTAGCCTCTAAGACGCCTCTGGCGTATGTTACTTGATCTCTAGCCTCTCGGTCGCCGATGGCGGTACGAATACTTGTAAATAATGTAAATATTGTAAAAAAATAAAAATACAAAAAAATTTATAAAAATAAAAAGCCTAAAAATGTAAAAATTATTAAAAACACAAAAAAATTTCTTATGCCAAAAAATAAAAAAATAAAAAAATTTCTTAAGAGACAAAATTTCAAAAATAAAATGAAAAATTTAAAAAAATTTCGTATTTTAAAAAATTAAAAAATAAAAAAAATTCTTACGACCATGGTGTACAGGTCTTCCACACCTGACAGGCCTCCCCGTGGCCGTACACCGGTAACTCCTGCTACTAAGGCTGTTGTGAGCCATGCAGTTGAGGCTAACCACAAAGATCACAACATCTTTATGGAGTCAAAGTGGTTTGCTAAATTTATCGTTATTTCGAAAAATTGTTTTTTGCTTTAATGTTTGGCCGAAAAATGGTGAAAACTTCATAGAACATAACGCTATCCTTTTAGCCAGTTTTAAAGTCATATTCTTAAGTTCTATCAGAGATATATATCAGAGTTTTCTATCAGAGTAAAGGAACTTTTATAGAGCTCTAAACGAGTCAATGTACATCTCCCAGCAAAAAGAGAGATGTACATTGAGAGAGCTCTAAACGAGTCTAAATTTTATATCCAAGAAAAAACAAATCTAGCGTCCTTTTAAAGCCGCAGGCTTTCCACGCGCGTCCCTGGACGCGCCGCCAAAAAGGCTTCTATAAAAACAACGTAACCAAACGCTCCCCCCAGCGTAACCAAACCCAAAAGCTACACGCCCATTCAGCTACTCACCCTGCAGCTAGTTACATACTTATATAAAAATGTGGAAGTTCGATTTTAAAAAATCAGAACTCGGATTTGAGTGGATTTACGGGCATGGGAGTTTGACATCTTGGGGGGTACTTTGTCCGGGCCATATAGGAAAAATATAGCGGATTTCGAAAAATTGCCGGAAGGGGTCGAAACCGGGTTCGAACTTTGTCTAAAATCCGAACGGTTCGAGATACCGGAAAAAGTCTGCTGGGAGGCGGATGTGCCACTATTAGTAGATGTCGAATCCAAAAAATTCGGGTCGAAAATGTCAAACCAAAAGTCTGTAGCCTCGTGAGCCTGAAGTGTCCAATTCGTACTCAAATAGGTTTTTTTGGCGGAAATTTAAATTTTTTAAAAATTTTCAGGGAAATTCGAAAATATAGTAGTAGGGATGTCTGAGTATGAGTATTAAGGGGTATAAAGAGGATTTCGACTTCGGTTCGACATTTCCGGGTTTTTTCGGGATTTCTGAATATGGTCGAATGAGTAGTCATTCGAGAGCTGGGATAAAGGGGAGATTAATGGGATATGTTAGGGGTAGTAAAAGTCGAATCTGGAAGTCGAAATTCGAGTTCGAACTTTCCGGGATTTCGAATATGACGTGTAAGTAGTCATTCGAAAGGGGATATTGAGGGGAGATCAATGGGATATGTTAGAAGTTTTGAAAGTCGAATTTCGAAGTCGAACTTCGAAATCCGGGATTTCCGAAAAGTTCGAATATGGTCGAATGAGTAGTCATTCGAGAGCGGTGAGTGAGTGGGGATTAATGGAATATGTTTCGGGTCAAAATTCGAAGTTCGGAGTTCGAACTTCGAAATCCGGGATTTTCGAGATCCTTAAATATGGTCGAATGAGTAGTCATTCAAAAGCAGATATTGAGGGGGAATCAGTGGGATATATTAGAAGTCGAAATTCGAAGTTCGGAGTTCGAACTTCGAAATCCGGGATTTTCGGGATTTATAAAAGTGGTCGAATGAGTAGTCATTCGAGAGCAGACATTAAGTGGAGTACAGTGGGATTATAAAAAATCTCGAAACTTGAATTGTAGAAGTCAGAGTTCGAGATTCGACATTTCCGGGATTTAAGATTTAAATGGATAAGGGTGAATGAGTAGAAAGCTTATCTAATGGGGATTACAGTGGGATTAACCAAAAAATCTAATTTCAAAGTTCGTAGTTCAAAATTCGGAATTTGAGTCTGGGACTGAAATGGTTTTTAGACCATAACTTTTCGGGGACTTAAATCTAACTTATCCCAACCACACCATTAATAGATCCCTGTATGTGCTTCAATTTAATCTTTAATTCAACTTTATAAGTACTGTAGATAGTTCAGTATATCCATTGAAATTTCCAAAAAGCTGAGACTGAAATGGTTTTTGGGCCATAACTTTCCGGGAAAATTTTTTAGAATTTTTTCGTTTTCAGATTCGGACTCAGCGT